AAGTGGATCTTGGCACTTTTTTTTTTTTTCCCAAGATGGAGCCTTACAGAGATCGCGCCACTGCAGTGCAGCCTGGGTGACAGAGCAAGACTCCATCTCAAGGAAAAAAAAAGGACACGTCTGGCATCTGTTTCCTCCACTAAAATGTGGGCTCCTTGGGGTAAGTAAGCACCTCATCTGCCTTGCTCAGTTTTGTGTGCCCAGCATATATTAGGTGCTCAATAAATGCACGTTAAAGAATCAGGGCGGGCTGGGCACAGTGGCTCACACCTGTAATCCCAGCATATTGGGAGGCCAAGACACGAGGATCACTTGAGGTCAGGAGTTTGAGACCAGCCTGGCCGACATGGTGAAACCCCATCTCTACCAAAATACACAAATTTAGCCAGGCATGATGGTGTGTGGCTATAGTCCCAGCTACTCAGGGGGCTGAGGCAGGAGAATCACTTGAACCTGGGAGGCAGAGGTTGCAGTGAGCTGAGATCGCCCCACTGCACTCCAACCTGGGTGACAAGAGCAAGACTCTTTCTTTTTTTTTTTTTTTTTTTTGAGTCGGAGTCTAGCTCTGTTGCCCAGGCTGGAGTGCAGTGGCCAGATCTCAGCTCACTGCAAGCTCCGCCTCCCGGGTTTACGCCATTCTCCTGACTCAGCCTCCCGAGTAGCTGGGACTACAGGCACCTGCCACCTCGCCCGGCTAGTTTTTTGTATTTTTTAGTAGAGACGGGGTTTCACCATGTTAACCAGGATGGTCTCGATCTGCTGACCTTGTGATCCGCCCGTCTCGGCCTCCCAAAGTGCTAGGATTACAGGCTTGAGCCACCGCGCCCGGCCAAGACTCTTTCTAACAAAGAAAAAAGTTGCTGCTTGACACACAGACACTCCACACACCTGACACACACATCTCCCATCACATCCACACCCCAAGGCTTTCTCAGTCTGGAGATGGCCCTTCCTCCTCCACCAGGCAGGCCTCCAGGCTCTGAGGGAAGGGGATGGAGGGATGGATAGATGGACAGATGGCAGCTGCTGGGGAAGAAGTGGCCCTGAAACCCCCCATCCCTTCAGTTGGGGGGCCTCCATCAGTTCCTCGGAACGAGAATTCCTCTTCCTCCTTTTCTCTCCCTGAGTAAGCATTGTGACTGGAGTAGGCAGGGTGGTGCCTACAGCAGCCTCTATACCTCATTCACCCCCATCCCGCCCGACCCATCCACTCCCCACCGCAAGCTGGAAGACAAGGCAGTGAAGATGGTTCACAGAGCCGGAAATTCAACCCAGAGAGGTTAGGGGGACGCCCCAGTATGACCCAGCAAGTCCCCACCCCAGGGTTCCAGGGTCCCCAGGCAGATGAGATATATGGGACCCCACTGCTGAGCCAGAGTGAGGAAGGCAGGACTCTGGGGGCAGCCAGCTCCTCCCCAGGCAGGAGCAAGCCACTGCCCCATCTCCAGGCCCCTCTGTAATCCAACCCCCACATGGCTTGTGCAATAATTACAGGTACAGCTCATTCTTCCCATTCCTTCTTCCTTATTATCTCATCGTCTCAGCTCAAGCTGGGCCCTTCTAGTAAGAGAAGATGAGTAGGAAGGAAAAAAATGTCCCATCTCCTTTTCCCATAAACAGCCCTGGCCAGAGTCTTCCTGATGGCATGCAAAGAAAGCGTAGCCCAGAGGGCGAGTCCGGTGCCATAGATCACGTAGCAGGAAAGGTCCCACAGGGGCCTCCCCAGGTCCCCAGCTGCCAAAACTCCAGACTCATTGCATTCCTGGGTGGCCTGCCCCCTGCCCTGGCCTTTGTGACACTGCTAATTGAATTTATTGTCATGGTTCTTTTTAATATGTTAATATTAATTGCCAACTTACTGCAAGCTTTCCATGTGCCAAGTATGGAGCTAAGTGCTTCATGTGGATATCTTTTTTTTTTTTTTTTTTTTTTTTGAGACAGTCTTGCTCTGTCACCCAGGCTGGAGTGGAGTGGTGCAATCTCGGCTTACTGCAGCCTCTGCCTCCTGGGTTTAAGCAATTCTTCTGCCTCAGCCTCCCAAGTAGCTGAGATTACAGGTGCACACCACCACACCCGGCTAATTTTTGCACTTTTAGTAGAAATGGGGTTTCACCATGGTGATCACGCTGGTCTCGAACTCCTGACCTCAAGTGATCCTCTTGCCTGGGCCTCCCAAAGTGTTGGATTACAAGGCTGAGCCACTGTGCCCAACCCATGGATTTCTTTCATTCTTCAGTCATTCGAGCATTTTCTTTTTTTTTGAGACTGAGTCTTGCTCTGTTGTCCAGGCTGGAGTGCAATCTCAGCTCACTGCAACCTCCTCCCAAGTTCAAGCCATTCTCCTGCCTCCACCTCCCAAGTAGCTAGGATTACAGGTACGCAGCACCACGCCCAGGTGATTTTTGTATTTTTATAGAGACAGGGTTTCGCCATGTTGGCCAGGCTGGTCTTGAACTCCTGACCTCAGGTGATCCGCCTGGCACAACCTCCCAAAGTGCTGGGATTGCAGGCATGAGCCACCGCCCAGCTCATAACACTCTCAGCAGAAGGTATTATTTTTGCAGGGGAGGAAACTGAGGCTCAGCGAGAAAACACCTGTCCAGAGTCACACAGCTCGGAGAGAGCCCACAGTTGGACCAACTTCATCCTGCTCTGTGCCAGGCCTTACCTGAGGGATGAAGAGGTTTAAAAAAACCAACCCAGTCTTCCAGAAGCCCTGAGCCGTGTGGCTTCCTGGTGGGGCACTGTGTCCTGGGTGCTAAGGGCCTGGAGTCTAATTCAGCTCCCCCGCGGCCGTGCTGTGTGACCTCGGCTGGCTTTGCCACCTTTTCCGGCCAGGCCTGTGGGTGATGGGGTGGGAGAGAGGAGTCCTCGCCCCATGGCAGGGTTTGGGGCACAGAATCTGCAGAGGGAGAAATTGAGGCAGACTCACGGCAGCCCGGTGCTGACCCCTGGTGGCGATGGCCGGGAAGGGCAGAGCCGGAGAGCATCCCTCCATCAGCTCCCTCACCCATTCACCTCAAGGCTTCCCCACTTCAGACATCACGCCTGGGGTTCCAACCTGTGTTAGGGGGACCATCGCTTCAAAATCCCCAGGGAAGGAGGCAGTCCCCAACCCTTCCCAAAATATGTAACCTCAAGTCTCTACAAGAAGCCCAGGCCTGGAGCAGTGGCTCACGCCTGTAATCCCAGCACTTTGGGAGGCCGAGGCGGGTGGATCACATGAGGCCAGGAGTTCGAGGCCAGCCTGGCCAACAAGGTAAAGCCATGTCTCTACAAACACTACAAAAATTAGCTGGGCGTGGTGGTGCATGCATAGAGTCGCAGCTACTCAGGTGGCTGAGGCATAAGAATTGCTTGAATCCAGGGAGGTTGAGGCTTCAGTGAGCTGTGATTGTGCCACCATACTCCAGCCTGGGCAACAGAGCAAGACTCTGTCTCAAAAAAAAAAAAAAAAAAAAAAAAGAAGCCCTGGGCTGTGACGTCCAGTCCAGGCATTTCAGGCCCAGTGGGTGGGCCATGATAACTGGCAGATGCATCTCATTCATTTGTTCCTTCATACATACGATCTGGGGACACAGCAGGAAGCCATGCAGGCAAGGTCCTGGCCCCCACGGCTCCACAGGGAGATAATCGTCAAACCTCAGACTCCAGCACATACAGGGAGAGGGGTGGGCGTGTGCTGAGAGGCCAAGGTCAGAGCCAAAGGAGCACCAAGGATAGAGCCGGAAGATGTGTAAGGACCAAAGAAGATGGGCTCCTGGACAGGGATGCTAAGCTGAGATCTCAAGGCAGCTGGCCGGATGTGGCCAAGGGCAGCAGGGTAGGGTGAAAGGATCCTGGGGACTAGGAAACAGATTCACTCAAGATGCTGGTAAAGGCTGCCTCCACACCAGAGAGCAGGGGGTCTGTGAAGTCCACGGAATGAGGAAGGGGTCGGAGGAGGAGGTGGGTGGAGGCGAAGTTTGCTGGACTCAGACAGGAGCCCATCGACAGGGCAAGGCCGTGTTGCTCAGTCTTTCACTAGCCCATGTCCAGAATTTTGCCAGACATGAGAACAGCCTGAATTATTGATTCACTAGATACCTTTTTAAAAGCTATTCCCTTTTTTTTTTTTTTTGAGACGGAGTCTCGCTCTGTCGCCCAGGCTGGAGTGCGTGGCGCGATTCGGCTCACTGCAAGCTCCGCCTCCCGGTTCACGCCATTCTCCTGCCTCAGCCTCCGAGTACTGGACTACAGGCCCCACCGCGCCGGCTAATTTTTTGTATTTTTAGTAGACGGGTTTCACCGTGGTTCGATCTCCTGACCTTGTGATCCGCCCGCCTCGCCCCCAAGTGCTGGATTCAGGCTGAGCCACCGCGCCCGCCAAGCTATTCCTTTTAAGTTTTTTTTTTTTTTTTGAGACGGAGTCTCACCCTGTAGCTTAGACTGGAGTACAGTGGCACGATCTCGGCTCACTGCAGCCTCCTCCTCCTGGGTTCAAGCAATTCTCCTGCCTCAGCCTCCCGAGTGGTTGGGACTACAGGTGTGTGCCACCACGCCCGGCTAATTTTTGTATTTTTAGTAGAGACGGGGTTTCACCATGTTGGCCAGGCTGGTCTCGAACTCCTGAGTTCAAGTGATCTGCCTGCCTTGGCCTCCCAAAGTGCTGGGAATACAGGCGTGAGCCACCGTGCCCAGCCATGTTCCAAAGAGGACATGAACACACTACAATTAGATCTTCACATACATCTGGTGAGCTCCCTCAGGATAAATTCCTTCAAACAGAATGGCCGGGCTCTAACAGGACTACATTTCAGTCCGTTGATCAGTTTCCCCACCCAGCTGTCAGAAATTTCCCACCCACCCACAGTGTGGGGCTGTGGAAACGTGGAGCAGGGCCATCTCCAAAGGCGGTTCAAGCCGCACCTGTGGGACGCCCCGGCCTTCCTCCTGCAGGAAGTGAGGACGAGGACACAGTGAAGGCACACATCACAATGGCTGTTCCACTGGAGCCAGGCCCAGCAAGAGGCGGCCGGGTGTGGCCCCAGCTCCTCACACCTCCTGGCAACCGGGCCTCGTCATGAGAATTCCTGGAAATAAGCGCATGAGCACTCAGAGCTCAGAACGTGGTGCTGCCCAGCCACTGTTGCTGGGACAGAGGTCCTCCAGAGCACCCGGATGGAATCATCGCCAGGGTGAGGGCGCCCCTCATGCAGGGGTCAGGGCTGGCAGGGACTGGGAAGAAGTCTACTCTGGAGCCCGCAGGAAGCAGAGAGGAGACGAGGGTCCCTGTGCTGAGCTGGGGGCTGCCCTCAGTCCTCACCACCCTTCCCCAAAATCCTACTGTCCCCACCAATCCAGGGGCCACGGAACCCAGTAGAGACGGTCGAGCAGTGGGGCCTTCAATGTGCTGTACTCTCTCTTAAAAGTGTTATAAGGGGCTGGGCGCGGTGGCTCAAGCCTGTAATCCTAGCACTTTGGGAGGCCGAGACGGGCAGATCACGAGGTCAGGAGATCGAGACCATCCTGGCTAACACGGTGAAACCCCGTCTCTACTAAAAAATACAAAAAACTAGCCGGGCGAGGTCGCGGGTGCCTGTAGTCCCAGCTACTCGGGAGACTGAGGCAGGAGAATGGTGTGAACCCGGGAGGCGGAGCTTGCAATGAGCTGAGATCCAGCCACTGCACTCCAGCCTGGGTAACAGAGCGAGACTCCGTCTCAACAACAACAACAACAACAACAAAAAAATACAAGCAAGTCGCCAAATGAGACTAATGACTCCCCCACATCAGGTATGACACTCCTGCCCATGGCCAGAGACAACCCAGGCTGAGTGTGGAGGCAGCAGGAGGCAGAGCCGTCCTGGCCCTGGGGCTGCCTGGCGTGGAATTGGGAAAGTTACCAAATCTTTCGGAACTTGTTTTCTTTCTCACCTGGAGAACAGTGTAGACCATGTGCAGTGGTCGAGGGGATGAAGACGACGGTTGGCCGGGCATGTGGCTGACACCTGTAATCCCAGCACTATGGGAGTCTGACGCAGAAGGATGGCTTGAGCCCAGAGTTCCAGTCCAGCATGGGCAACATAGGGAGACCCCATCTGTACAAAACATTTTAAACAATTAGCCACGGGTGGTGGCGCACTCCTGTAGTCCCAGCTACTCAGGAGGCCGAGGTAGGAGGATGGCTTGAGCCTGGGAGGTAGAGGCTGCAGTGATACATGAGAGCACTACTGCACTGCAGCCTAGGCAACAGAGTGAGACGCTGTCCCAAAAAAAAAGAAAAAAAAAGAGGGTTGATGTAGGGCTGGGCAGCAGGGCAGTTGCTCACTGGGCCTGAGATCAGAATGACTCTTCAGCTGGTAGCTGCAGGCCAGGTCCTTAGTTTTTGACCTTCAGTTTCTTGTTTTGTTTTGTTTTTTGAGACAGACTCTCCCTGTCGCCCAGGCTGGAGGTAGTGACGCAATCTCGACTCACAGCGACCTCCGCCTCCTGGGTTCAAGCGATTCTCCTGCTTCATCCTCTGGAGTAGCAGGGATTACAGACGCCTGCCACCATACCCGGCTAATTTTGGTATTTTTAGTAGAGATGGGGGTTTCACGATATTGGCCAGGCTGGTCTCGAACTCCTGACCTCAAGTGATCTACCCATCTAAGCCTCCCAAAGTGCTGGGATTACAGGCATGAGCCATCGCACCCGGCTGACCTTCAGTTTCTTCATCTATAAAATGGGCATGCAGAACAGCCCCAGGTAGGGCCGCTGGGGCACGGGATGGGCATGAAACCACTTTCTGTCCCACAGGGCCCAGACTGTGGTGTGAAGTAGCTGTGGGCAGAGCTGGGGGTGGTTCCTGCTCTTTGAGTGCCCCCGGTCCTGGGAAGGGCAGCAGGAATTGGGTGACCAGACAAAGCCCAGGTCCCTGTGCAAAGCACCCATGTGGTTCTCAATGGAAACCCATCGCCCACACAGCGTTAATTGATCAGGCTCCCATCTTCCCCACTCCTGGATCACACACCCTGGATATCCGAGATCCCAGAATTCCTTGTCCAAACAGCCAGAAGCCTGCCTCCAGGGTCTGCAGGGACCCTTCTGGAGGCCCCAGGACTGGCCAAGCAGTGGCTACTGGCAAGCGAGGGGATGGAGCTGGGGTGTCCACACACTGAGAGGTTCCTTGTGGTTCGCTGAGACCCAAAAAGTCCTCCTTTGAAGGAGTAGATGGAACGCAGCCGTGTTTGGAGTCCTCCTGATCACAGGCAAGGGGATAGGGTTTGCAGTGCAGGCTCTGGAGTTAGACACATTTAAGTTCCATCCTTGGCTCTGATGCTTATTTCCTGGGTGACCTCAGGCAAGTTACCTACCCTGTTTGAGCCTAGTCTCCACACCTGCAAAATTCTATAATATCACATACTCACCTCAGTGGTGTTTTGGCAAGAGTAAATGCAGTGGCGGGTGTAGCACCTAGTACAGGATGCAGCACGTAATAAATGCTTAATACATTTTTTAAAAGATCATGAGGCCCTGCACTATCTCCACATCCTGAACTTTCTGGTGCTACCTCCAGGAAGATCTTACATCTTAAGACATGAGGGCACAACTGGAGTCAGAAATATCTGGGTGTGGCTGGGCACGATGGCTCACATTTGTAATCCCAACACTTTGGGAGGCCAAGGTGGGTGGATTACCTGAGGTCAAGAGTTCGAGACCAGCCTGGCCAACATGGTGAAACCCCATCTCTACTAAAAATACAAAAATTAGCCTGGTGTGGTGGCATGTGCCTGTAATCCCAGCTACTCGGGAGGCTGAGGCAGGAGAATCACTTGAACCTGGGACTTGGAGGCTGCAGTGAGCCAAGACTGCACCACTGCACTCTAACCTAGGTGACAGGAAGTCTCCGTCTCAAAAGAAAAGAAAAGAAATGCCGGGGTTCAAATCCCAGTTCTTCTACCTCTAACCATGCAACCATGGACAATTTTATTCATTCTTCTAGGCCTCGGCTTGCTGGCTTTCTTTTCTGTTAGAGACAGGGTCTCATTCTGTCACCCAGGCTGGAGTGCAGCGGTACAATCACGGCTCACTGCAGCCTCAAACTCCTAGGCTCAAGCCATCCTCCCATCTCAGCTTCCCAAGTAGCTGGGAATATAGGCATGCACCACCATGCCCAGCTAATGGCCTGTTTTCTATTCTGTAAAATGAGTACCTGCCTCAGGCTGAGTTTATTTTTGTTTCTTTGTTTTTTGAGATGGAGTCTGGTTGTATCGCCCAGGCTGGAGTGCAGTGGCGCCATCTCAGCTCACTGCAACCTCTGCCTTCCGGGTTCAAGTGATTCTCCTGCCTCAGCCTCCCGAGTAGCTGGCATTACAGGCGTGCGCCACTGTGCCCGGCTAATTTTTGTATTTGTAGTAGAGATGGGGTTTCACCATGTTGGCCAGGCTGGTCTCGAACTCCTTGATCTCAGTTGATCTGCCTGCCTTGGCCTCCCAAAGTGTTGGGATTACAGGCGTGAGCCACTGCATCCGGCCTAAGTTTTTAGTTAAGTCCCTGGCATATAGTGAGCCCACCGATCTGAGGGTGCTTTTCTTCCTCTCTCCTAAAGATCCTCATCATGCTGACCCCCCTCCTCCCTATGGTCCTCCTCCCCGGATGTACTTTGAAGGCCCCCAAGTTGTTCCTGTAGGTGAGTGCCCCTGCCGGCCTTCCCTCCTCCCTTTCTGTCTCATGCTCGGAGCTGCCCAGAATGTTCCCTTTCCTGACCACTGGCCAAGACTCTACCCAAACAGCACCTCCTCTGGAAAGCTCTCCTCCCCTGACTCTGTAGCTGTGGGACCCCACAGCTGGCCAGCTACCTCTGCTCCCATGCTGGCTGTGTTGCCAATGGCCACTGAAGCATCTCTCTCCAGAGGGAAATCACGGGTGGATGGAGCCTGTATACAGTAGGCGCTCAGGACGTTTTTATGGAGTGGACTCCTGTTCTGTACTCTGCAAACACACCAGCCCTGAGGCCACAGGAGGGGAAGGCAGAGCCCCCCAGGTGGGGCCTGAGCTTTGGGATTTTCCAGGGAATTCTCAGACAGTCTCCAGATTCAGAACTGCTGGGTTAGATACATTCCTGGAGGGCACAGTGAAGATGACATCACCATTGAAAAGTGCCCTTTAGGCCGGGCGTGGTGGCTCAGGTCTGTAATCCCAGAACTTTGGGAGGCCAAAGCCAGTGGATTGCATGAGGTCAGGAATTCAAGACCAGCCTGGCCAACATGGCGAAACTCCCGTCTATACCCAAAATACAAAAAGTAGCTGGGCGTGATGGTGCGTGCCTATAGTCCCAGCCACTCAGGAGGTTGGGGCAGGAGAATCGCTTGAACCCGGGAAGCGGAGGTTGCAGTGAGCCGAGATCGCACCACTGCACTCCAAGCCTGGATGACAGAGTGAGACTCTGTCTCAAAAAAAATAAAAAAATAAAAAAAGGGCCCTTAGAGCCCACTGGAGACCCCACTTCCAGCTATAAACACTTGTTTCCTTAGTTTCCTCCAGACCGGGGTGGGGGAGCCACACCACACCCCCACATATCAGGGTCCAGATCCTAGCTTCTCCCCATCTCAGGTGAGCACCGACAGCCCGTGGGAGGTGAGAAGCCACAGGGGCCTGACCTGGGCGGGTCCCACCTGCTTCCTGCTCCCCACTGCCAGAGCTGTATGCCGGCATGCCTGTGGTGGGGACGTCCATGCCAGTGCAGGTCGTGTGTCCCTACTGTGGAAACCGCATCATCACGGTGACCTCCTTTGTCCCGGGCGCCCTCACCTGGCTGCTGTGTATCACCCTCTTCTTGTTCGGGTGAGTGGCCACCCCTCGGCCGCTGCAGAGGGCTGAGCATTGGCATGGGTGGGTCCGGGCGGGTCCCTGCAGGGGAGGGGGAGCCTTCGGGGAAAACAGCAGGACCAAGCCTCGGGGAGGCCAGTTGGGTGGGCCATTATCTCCTTGAGAGGAGGCAGCAGCCCTGTGACCCAGGGACCTCCCATGAGAACAGCGTCCCGGGAGCGGAGGGGTGAGTGATGCTGGCAAAGCAGCCAGCCCAGGGCACCCAAGACAGCTGCTGCTGTCACCAGCAGCCAAGAGCACGTGGGTTCAGGATGGCTCTTACCTCTCAGCTGAGTTAAAACACAGAGAGGGGCCAGGCGTGGTGGCTTACGCCTGTAATCCCAGCACTTTGGGAGGCCAAGGTGGGTGGGGTCACTTGAGGTCAGGAGTTATAGACCAGCCTGACGAATGTGCTGAAACGCTGTCTCTCTATTAAAAATATAAAAATTAGCCGGGCATGGTGGCGCGTGCCTATAGTCCCAGCTACTCAGGAGGGTGAGGCAGGCAAATCGCTTGAACCCGGGAGGCGGAGGTTACAGTGAGCCAAGATCGCGCCACTGCACTTCAGTCTGGGCTAGAGTGAGACTGTCTCACGTGCGCACACACACACACACACACACACACACACGCCGAGGCCCCTCCCAGACTCTGCCTGGGCCCCAGGTGCGTCCAGTGTGCAGCCTAAGAGGTGGCTCCACTCACACCCAGCCTCCGCTCTGGGACTGCAGGTGCGTCCTAGGCTGCTGCTTCCTCCCGTTCTGCATAAGGAGCCTAATGGACGTGAAGCACTCGTGTCCCGTGTGCCAGCGCGAGCTCTTCTACTACCGCCACCTGTGAGCTCCTAAGAAATAAATGCCAGGGGCGCCACCTGGGCACACCCCTATGGCCTTGCCTCCTACTCTTCTGTCAGCCCAGGAGATTGGGCAGCCGCCTCTGCTCCGGGAGCCTGTGTTGAGTGTGTGGGGGCCGCACCGTCCTGTCCACCTCCATTCTCTTTTGACTCCTTAGAGCCACAGTCCCTAGCTCAGCCCCATCTTTCTTTCTGGGCTCCCTCCCATCAGCTCAAGCCTCTACCTCTTAGGGAAAACTATCTCCCTGTAAGTCCAGCCAGGAGGGGAGACCTGTTCTCCCTGATACCACATCTCATCCACTACGTGCACCTCAACCCACATCAACCCACATCCGGGCTCACTCTGGGCCCTGCCCCTGCCTGGTTGACCAGCGGCTCCGTTGCTAAGTGCAACATCCAATGGGCACTCGCTCCTTCGCTCCTAACTGGGTTCTCTGTAGCCCTTGGCACTCTCCCTCCCTTCCCTCAAAGACCCCATCTCCTGGGCTGCAGCGGCTCTCCAGCCCCTCCTGGTGGGTTTGTCACTCGGCCAGTGCTCCTCAGGGTCTAGCCTTGGCTCCTGCATCCCACCCACAACCTTCTCCCTAAGATGCTTGAGGCCCTGCAGAGCGAACAGGTCTCACACTAACTCCCTCCTCCCTCTTCTCCTGAACCTGGTGGCTGGGACGAGTGGGTGGCGGTGCCCCTCCAGGGCAGCCCTTCAGTCCCATCCTTCTTGCCCTGCAGTGATTTCTTCCCTCCCCTTTATCCTCTCCTTGAAGGAGGCAGCAGCCCCAGGTCTCCCTGTCGAGAGTCTCGCCCGCTCCTGCTCTTCTCCAGCAGCCGGTGGCCAGCACTGAGCCGGTGATTCTTGTGGGTGAGGATCCGGAACTCCGGCTTGGACTATGCCAGACACCTGCCAACAATGTGCCTCTCTCAGTCCAAGTCCACATGCTTCCCCTGGGGCCCCTTGAGGCCATCTGTGAGCTGGCTCCAGCTCCCCTGCCCACCCCAGCCAGATAGGACAGAGTACTGCTCCCTCACCAGCCACCCAACCTCCCCAGGCTGCTCCCAGCAGCGCCCAGCCCTCCAATCAGCCCCTGCCCTGTCAGTCTGGTCACCCGCTCTCTGGTGTATCACTTTCCCCAGGCGGTTTGTGAGGTCTTGGCTCACCTCTGTACCCAAGGGCCTGGTTGGGACAGGCGGGTTATAGAAGCTAGGATGGGGCAGGTCTGCCCAGATCAGTCTGGTCTCCCACTAAGAGGTTTAACCCTTAAGACTCCCTTACAGCTGCAGCCTTACAGCATGGCAGAGCTGCTGTGGAGGAAGGTGGACGTTAACAGGCCCCAAATAAGCTGACGAATAGGACCCCTTTCAGGGTCTGCCTGCAAACAACGTCAGGAGGGGGACGATGGGGTAGAGGGAAATCCAGTATCACCACTAAAGGACTTAAATTTTGCACAACAGGCTGGGCGCGGTGGCCCATGCCTGTAATCCCAGCACTTTGGGAGGCCAAGGTGGAAGGACTGCTTGAGCCCAGGACTTCTAGGCCAGCCCGGGCAACACAGCAAGACCTCGTTTCCACTGAAATGCGGGGCTGGGGGGAATTAGCAGGGCATGGTGATGCGTGCCTGTAGTCCCAGCTACCTGGGGGGCTGAGGTGGGAGGACTGCTTGAGCCTGGAAGGTCGAGGCTGCAGTGAGCCCTAACCATGCCACTGTACCACAGCCTGGGTGACAGGGTCTCAAAAAGTTAATAAATTTTGTAAAGTAAAAATACTGTTCTACTCGTCATGTTTTCAAATAAGATGAATTTCACAGGGGAGAAAAGTAAGGGAAGAATTAGGGGGAAGAGGAAGAATCAGGAGCTGGGGGCATGTGGAGCTGTCTTCACTAAACTGCAGCTGGGGGAGCTGTAAGGCTCACACTGATGGGGTATCGACCCATTATTGCCCCACCCTACAGATGCGGAAGCTGAGGCTGAGATGAGTAACTAGATCAGCGCTGGAGATGTAGGTCTGTCCAACTCAGGGTCCAGCATCAGGGAGGAAGGCACAGAGGCGAGGGGTGCATGTGTGTGTGTGGCTGACGGTCTGGAAGAAAGGGTGGGTGAGCACATGTGCGTAGGCGAGTGTGTGGCTGAAGGCCTGGAGGAGGGGTGTGTGTGTGTGCCTGAGGGTCTGGAAGGGTATGCGTGTGTGCGTGTCTGTGGCCAAAGGCCTGGAGGGACAGAAGGGAGCATTACCTGTCTTCCATCATATGGTCTTCAGCAGGCAGAGGTTCCTGGAAGCCATAGGGCAGGCAACAGCCATCTTGGTCAAAGCCTGGCGTGATGGAGCTGACAGGTCCTCAGGTCACACCAGCCCCGGGGAAGGGCAAGTTCTGGGACAGGTTTCCCTGGAGTAAAATTCCCCAATGCCTATGCCTCTGCCACCACCGAAAGGCCTGGCTACATCGGAGAACAACTTCCCAGTCCACACTAGCTGCAGATCCCAGGGCCTCCATTTCCACTTCAGAGACTCAGCAAGATTTTTAGGGTTGGATGGTGAAGTTTTTGACACAAACGAGGCAGCTAGTACCTGGGAACCCCAGTACGTCCCTGAAGACAAAGGAAGTAACCTCTCATTTGTAATAAATGAGGACACAGGGGCACCACGTCAACACAGGGAGACAGAAAAGCCCCTGGTGGACAAGGTGAGTGGTCATCCATCCAGGCTGTATCTCAAGGTGAGGCGCGAGGGTCTCACCTAGGACGAGGGCCCAGCCACCGGGCCTCCACCATGCAGAGAGACTCGCTGGCTCTGCAGAACAGCCGGGCTATGGCAGGCGACAGTCGGGGGCTGCTCGGTCTTGCTGGCAAGGCCCACCTGCAGCCTGAACCCTCCGCCATCTGCAGAGTTCAGCTGGAGCCCCTCGTTCTGATTCCATGCAGCCTGCTGGCTTTGACTCGGGTTCCCAGATGGCTCCAGAGACATGAGCGCCTGCAGTCCAGGGACAGTGTCCGACCATGGCCAGGCTCTGCTCACTCAGTGTGGACTGGCTGGGGGTGCCAGGTCCTCCTCAGTCACAGGAGAGCTTTCATTGGCCTGAGTCAGTCACCATTGTGCCTTCAGAGGTGGCCAGGTCCTTGGCATGGCTGAAAGCTTCTGCTGTGACTCTGCGGATCAGTCCCCAGGCGCTCTGGATGCAGACTGTCCCGTTAGGAAAACGTCACTTGCCAACTCTTAGAAATAGGAGAATTTGCGTCGAAAATCCAGGATTTTCAGCTTGGCGAGGTGGCTCACCCCTGTCATCTCAGCATTTTGGGAGGTCAAGGCGAGATCACTTGAGCCCAGGAGTTTGAGACCAGCCTGGGCAACCTAGGGAGACCTTGTCTCTACAAAAAATTAAAAAATTAGCCAGGCATGGTGGTAACACCTGTGGTCCCAGACACTTGGGAGGCCAAGGCAGGAAGATCGCTTGAGCCCAAGAGGTCAAAGTTGCAATGAGCCACGACTGCACAATTGCACTCCAGCCTTGGCGATGGGGTGAGACCCTATCTCAAAAAAAACAAGACAAAAATACACATTAAAAAAAAAAAGAAGTCAAGGTTTCTCGGGTTCTGTTGTCTGAAGGTGTAGGTGCAGAGGAACTGGGGTCTTGAGAGGCTGCCAAGTGGGGCTGGACTTCATCTGCCCCTTGGCCCAGCCCCTTGGAATACCCCCAGACCCAAGCCTCGGGATGTCTGCAGTCACTGCCTTAAACAACAGGACCTGAGCCGCCGTTCTAAGTCTCTCAGTGTTCCTGTGTCTGAGGCCTTGTCCTAGGGAAGCCTTGGTTCTCCTATGCCAAGACCTTGTTGCAGGGCCAGGCTAGGGCAGGGCTGGGACTTCCTTCTCCTGCATCCCTTTCCCTGACCGTTGATGTGGTCCTCCATGCCCAGGGCAGGCCTCTTCCCCAGCTTTGGGGCTTGTCAGAGGGCAGCCCACCACTGGCAGACGAGCTTGGCAAGTTGCTGAACTCTCATTTGAAACTGGGGACAGCCCCCAACTTATGCACAGAGGGCTGAGCCAGGGCTACCTGGAAAACAGGGAGGTGAGGCGGGCGGCCAGTGGGGGTCTGAATGCCTGCTCCACACTGGGCAAGGCCCAAGGCCCAAGGCCCCACAGCTCAAGGTTCTGTCCTACTTCGGGCCACCAGACGCCTCACTGCTGACCTCAGGGCTGGCTCACCGTGCACAATGGTTATCACAAAGGGGTTTCTTGCTACTGTCCCTCCTAATTAACCGGAGGCAAGAATCAGAACAGCCCCCACCCCACCTTCTCACAGGAGCCCAATGGGCAGGTGTGGCACTGATGCCAGCTCATGGGCAGAGCTCGCTGGCGGCTGGTGGCCTTCCTCACAAGGCCACCCATACCACTTCCCTACTGCAGTTCTCAGCTCAGCCAGGGCAGAAAGATGTGCCTGGTGGACCTGGCCTTGAGCCATGTCCTATGGGGTAAAGAGCATGGAGGGGCCATCAAGGCCATGCTGGGAACCTTGAGCAGCTTCTGGACTAACTCTCACCACCAGGGAGGGGCTGGCCTTACCCACCCTTCTCTGCCTCCACACTGCAAAACCAGCTCTGCAGCAATGAGTTTCAAAGGGCTGAGTGGCACTGACTACTGGTGGGGAAGGACAGGCGGTGCCAGTCTTACTACACAAATTGGACTTCATGGGTGGTCTGAATCCGTAACTTTTTCCCTCTCCCAAGCTGCCCACGCGCTGTGCAGGCACCATGCTGTGAACCCCCAGGCCCACCCCCAGATCCAGCCATTGACAGCTGGCAGCCTGTAGGGGGTCAGTGACCCCTTGGAGCTGATGTGGGGGGGGGGCCCTCCCTTTGGAACCTGCACAGTTTTGCTCACAGATCATTCATGGTCTCCAGCTCCCAAGCCTCACTCAGTTAAAGGCTGTGGAAAGCAAGTCAGCAGAAGATGCACAGGTACCCATCTCCCCCAACAGCAAAATGCAGGGATAGGGGACTCTGTCCTTAACTGTTCTCACCCAGAAAACCAATGTCCCAAAGGATTCCTTGAGGGAGTAGGCCATAAAGAACGACCACTCCAATGCCTGTGCTTCAGGTAGCACTCAAAAGCCCTCGAGTTAGTCCCTGTAACTCCCAAGGTGGGGGATGTTTTGTCAGAACTGCCTATCCAGCCTGGAAGACATCAGCCACATGTGCAAATTAGAATACCATTAAAATTCAACCCCTCTGCCACTTAAGCCACATTCCAAGTGCTTTATAGCCACAGGTGACCAGCAGCTCCACTAAGACAAAGTTCTGATGAACACAACTGGGTGAGAATAGGGTGGTAGCAAGACTGGCCGGAAACACTGCCCACTACTCACACAAAAGCCTTAGGGATGTAGTCCAATGGGGTTGGCAAGGTCTGGTTGTCAACTTGACTCCTCTACTCCCCCAGGGGACCTATCTACATACCACTAGGAGGCAGTGACTCAGCTATCTAATCTGAAGCTCTCTTGGCCCAAGAGGCCCTTATATCAAGCCATGAACGCAGGATCACTTCCCTGTAATCCAGGGCTGGTACACCTACAAAGCGGGTTTTTAAAAAACGAAGCCCTGTGGGGAGAGCCTCACCACTCAAGTGTTGTCTGTGGCTGCGTTCATGCCACGTTGGCAAAGCTGAGGGTCCCAACAGAGACCATCACACAAACCTACTCTCTGACCTTTTACAGAAAGTTTACCAACCCTGACCCTAACATAAGCCCAAATGACAAGAGAGATGTCTTACTTACACATATCGCCTTAGTAATTCAAGGAACCTTCAGGTGCTACGGCTTTGAGATGGAGTCTCCCTCACTCTGTCGCCCAGGCTGGAATGCAGTGGTGTGATCTCGGCTCACTGCAACTTCCGCCTCCTGGGTTCAGGTGATTCTCTGGCCTCAGCCTCCCGAGTAGCTGGGACTGCAGATATGTGCCACCATGACTGGCTAATTTTTGTGTTTTTAGTAGAAACGGTTTCACCACACTGGCCAGTGATCCACTTGATCCTGACCTCAAGTGATCCACTCGCCTCAGCCTCCCGAAGTGCTGGGATCACAGGTGTGAGCCACCGCATCCGGCCCAGGTGCTATAGGTTTTATCGCATTTGCTGTAACTGTGAAGGTGGTTTCAGAGTTGAGACTTTAAAACTACTCACAATCTCCATCCCTGGCACCATAAACATTTGCCTCACAACAAATGAACAATGTCATGTATGAAGCCAAATGTCCTTGCTGTCTTGTGAAAGAGAAGCTGGGTTAGGGCCTCCATCAGGAAGCGATGGTGTCTACACGTGGCTTCTCGCCACTATCACGGCACCCATGTTGCAGGGGACTCTGCAGGGCGCCATTGTGTCACCCTTGGGCTTTGCTCACAGCGTGAGCCACTGGGCCTGGCTGCTCTTCTCATTTTGAAACGAGACTGCTTCAGCTCGCTGCTCCTGTGTGCGAGGGCGCGGAAAGGGCCACTGTGACCACAGGCCCCTGCTGTCACACAGTGGTTTTTCAGGCCCTCCGCTGTGAGGACTCAGAACGCTGTCAACAGATGGCATCCACACCCCATAGAGGGAGAAGACACAATAGTCCCAGGGTTATAGTGAGGCCGGGGAAGGGGAGTTCATTTTTCTTTCTTTAAAATTTCAACTTGTCTCCCCAAAACCAGCTTAACAAACTCAAACTCCTGACACTGTTAACAGGGAGTGCGTGGAAAAGGGAACACGGCACACGACGGAAACATTACAACATGTTTTTTGGAAAAAGAGTCATTTAATATCTCAAGGGAGAGTAGGAACTTTGAGTTACCTAAGACTACAGCCAACCCCGAGCCCAGAACAAAAACAAGACACCTTAATGTTCGTTCAAAGACAAACTCACAGCGAACGGCTCTCGCACCCCTGCTCTAACTCCTCTTTCTAGGGAAGGAAGGAGGGAGGGAAGGGCCAGGTCCCCGGGGGCCCTCACTCCCTGCTTTCTATCACACAGGTCACAAGGCAGCTCTCAGAGCAGAAGGCACACACACTGCAGTGGAAGTTGAGAAAGGAAGTCACTCCAAGGTACACACTGGCCCAGAGACCAGGAAACCGTGCCACAGAGCTGGAAGGCAAGGCCGATGGGACAGTGCGAGGACCACGTCCACGACAGCGCCTGCCGCCCCAAGGGGCCTCGTGACACGTCAGGTCACATCTCCAGTCACCTCATTTGTACACAGCTCCCTCCTGGAAAACCTTTTATTTCTTAAGAGCAAATGTGACTAGTTAGAGGCAAAAAAAAAAAAAAAAAAAAAAAAAAGTGAAGAAAGAAATGAAAACAAGAGACCCTGCCCCCGCAAAACCGAATTAGAAGGAAACGTACATTTCAGTGAAACCTTGTTACAAATGCCAAGGTTTCCCAGGCCTGTTTCCAGGGAGAGTAGAAATCTTCCTCCACTTCCACGTCACTCACTGAATTATAATTTTTATAGAAAATTTTATTCAACATACAACATTTTCCAGCAAAAAGGCAATATACAGGAAGAGTTGGTGTACACTGCTCCCACAGAAACAACCCAAAAAATACCGGAAAAGGATGAAAAATAAGAGTGATTTGCTGATTCTATTTTACTGCACTCAAAACTAGACACGCAGCTGGCATTAGCTCCAAAAGAAAAGGAAACGGGGCTGCGACTGAAATAAAACTACACACAATGAATATCAACATCAGTGAAATTCACTTGCAGACTCACCCAACAAAAAGGAACCTCCTCCCAGTGGCAAATTGTACATGTTCATTCATTAAATATACAATTTCATTTTTCCTTTTTTTTTCCTTTTTAACTTTTTTACAAAGTCAACAGCGTACTAACCACTAGTGAGCATGCCCTCTTGCTAAAAGGCTTTGTTGTTGTCTGTTCCACTTTAACGAAATTCTATGTGTAATTCTTTCACCTGCTCGTATGAACTGTTGAGATCATAAGTCTGCCGAGGCAGCAGAGTAAACCTTAATTGAATTTAACAATGTTCTTGATTTAATAAAAAAGACCCCCACGATGTCTGTCCGGACTGTGTTCAGTGCATCCACTTTGCAAAGGGGCTGCAGACAGTAGTGGCTGACGAGGTGAGACGAGTTTATTAAAAAGCCCCCAGGCAGCTGGAGGAGGAGAACCCGAGGAAGGGCCGACAATGCACACAATGAAGGGAAGAGCGCTATTTATTAGGTTGTGAGTTTCTCTGTTTTGCCTTTACAGATGCACAAAAGGTCATTGAAAGTATATCTGAAGGAAATAGGTCGGACGAGCCTAAACACAAGACTTTCTAGCTGCAGGGCTGGTGCACGGGACCCCAGGGAGGCAGCCGAGCCACTCATGCCCACTAGGGACAGCCCAGAGACCTTGAGCCAGGGACCCATGATCCGCTAACCTCTTCTCCCCCATTGCGCTGACAGTTGCCTTGCACTGTGGTTACCATAAAATAACTCTCATTGGCATCCAAGCTTTATAAAAACACCTTCATTTTGCTCAAAAAGGGCAGTCAATAGATACAGAGAAGCCAAACTGAACAGCCTCAATAAAATAAAATTAACACCAGCAGCGAATCCTCTTGCTGAAGACTTCGGCTAGAGGGCACGTGCACCAAAGTTCTAGGCTGTTAAGGGGCCACCCACACACCGTCCTCGCCTTGAACACACCAGCTTGGAAATCAGTTATGGATTTTAATGGCCTTTTCAAGGTAAGTGTAGCGACTCCTCTTTGGGGCTTTGTTGAAGTGGTCGAGCCCTAGCCAAGGCCGAGGATGAGACATATTACCTGGTGGGGACGAAGAAAAGCAAGTGAGGCCACAGAGCAGCCCTGGAACCCCTCAGCGGGGTGGTGGCCAGTGAGGCATGCATCCCCGTGGCTCCCCAAGGGGTAAGTTTGCGGGGAAGCCAGGACCTGAACTGCACGCCCACCTGGAGCTAAGGAGACCCACACCCTGACTGCACCTCAGAGCCACTGTCCTCACAACCAACCCTCAGTTTCATTCACCCTGAACACACGTCCAAGCTTCTCTCCTTGAAGAACTCACAGGTGACAAAGGATGTAAGGATCTGTTAAGAACTCATAGGTTATGGAATGATATTGCTCCTGGCTCCACAGGTCACCCAGTGGAGAGAGAAGAGCTGGCACTTGCCCCTGGGGCTGCCCCTCCCAGCCCCAGACCACTTGCTTCTTAGTCTGAAACCCACACCAGCCCCTGAGGGGAGAACCCTTACCGGGCTGTGGCTCAAAGTCTTTCAAATTTACTTCATACTCGTCTTCATTTATGTACTGGTGTCGGCCCATCATTACAATTGCAAATTTAAACTAAAAGAAAAAAAATTAAAACTCCTCCATTATTTCTGTATATCAGTAAAACTCACATCTCTGGCAAAAAAAAAAAAAAAAGCCTAGGCCGCTATGCTAGGCAAGGCTTGAGCCTGTGGCCCGTCAAGCCCCCAGGAGGCCCCAGCTGCACACCTTCTCAAACTCCTTCTCCTGGATGTCCAGCAGGCTCTGGATTCGCTTCATCACTTCTCGAAAATGCTCGCCCTGGAATGGCAAAGGACACGTGCTCACACGGTCACTGCCGGCACCCCCGGGCCACGTCACGTGGCAGCCGCCAAAACCGATGCCCAGCCCCAACAGGAGCGCAGATTCAGCAACAGCAGCCACTCAAAGGCTCCAGGTTTTGATGCGAGCCACTTGGCCAACCACAACATCATACCTGGTGTATCCTCAGCAAAAACGGGATTCCGAACGTTCCGAAGACCTCTTTGTGGAAATGCGCCACTGTGACAAGCATCTCATTCTCTTTATCTATGTCCACCTGGTCCAAAGGGATTTCCTGGGGACATGGACGACAGACACAGTTCTGTAAGTGCAAGTGATGCGGTCAAAGTGTCCATATCTCAATTCTCACACTACTCTAGCCTGGAGGGTAGAGCCTGTTTTTGCTAAAAATGCCACACCTGGATCCAGCCAGAATGATGGGCGCTCACGGAAGCCTAAGCCAGAAGATATCCAAGTTTCTTCCTCCTCCCCCAAAAAACTGAATTTTAAGACACCAAATACTGTTATTATTCCAGTCCCTGTGGAAATGTCAACAGCTCTAAATCCAAGTGATCCACAGTTTCTGTCTGGATTGGGTTAGTAACACAAACTGAGGACTAATCTCTCTGCAAAAACACTGCAGGTCCACCCATGGAATCATATACCTCAATTACTGGTATATAAACACAGTCCAAGCTACTTGCACACTTTGCTGTGATATTTAAACATGCAGCAGATGGGGCTCATGAATACTCTTCGGTGCCAATGGTGTCGGGGACAGATACCTCTATTCGAAACGTCCGACTTGTTGCAGGAGATAAACATTCTAATAGTTCATCTTCTTGATGGACACCGATGATTTTGTAGCTTACAATTTCTAGCAGCCTGAACAGAGAAGAAAAAAAAAGTGGGGCAAAATGAAGTACGTATACTCACATAAAAATAAAATGGTTTTCTAGAAAGAAATAAAGTTACCATGATATGCTTTTTTTTTTTTTTTTGAGACAGTCTTACTCTGTCGCCCAGCCTGGAATGCAACAGCGTGGTCTCAGCTTACTGCAACCTCCGCCTCCTAGGTTCAAGCGATTCTCCCACCTCAGCCTCCCGAGTAGCTAGGACTATAGGTGTGTGCCACCACACCCAGCTGATTTTTGTATTTTTAGTAGAGACAGGGTTTCACTATGTTGGGCAGGCTGGTCTCAAACTCCTGACCTCGTGGTCCGCTCACCTCGGCCTCCCAAAGTGCTGGGATTACAAGTGTGAGCCACCTCGCCCAGTCTTTTTTTTTTTTTTAAGAGGATCTGAAATATCAGAAACAGAGACTGGGGGCAAGGCAAGCAGAGGGGGTCCCCTCGAAGCATGAGATTAAAGGGCTTTGCTGGATACAGGGGAAGTGGCCACATTTGGGCAGAGATGTACAGACTGGGCCTCCGAAACTTGTGTAAACCTTTCTCACAAGGAATTCACATTCAGTTGATTGAGGCATTTTCCTCACTTACTCTTATTATTAGGTAAAAGATTAGCGTCTCACTGTTTAATAACTGTTTTATTAAAACTAAAGAAAATTTGGGAACCAAATGCCCCCAAAGGCCATTTGTCCTCCAAGTGACTACAGGTCAATGTAGCGAGAATCATTCCCCTCTCTCTGAAATAAACAATCAATTCAGGGGCTTCTTTCTACAGCCCAAATGCTGGCTAGATGGATCAGAAGTGATTCAATCTGTCAAATACAAAATCAACAGTCACCCTTTCCAGTTTCAGTTCGTCATTCCAATGGAATCATACGGTTCCTCTGTTTGGCTTTTCTATGGGAATCACGCCTTTTGACTACAGCTAATGTTATCAGAAGATGCAAGGCGAAGAAGGACAAACATGGCTTAATTGTGAAACATGCATAACCCTCTGCACCACACCGCCTTGATGGTTACCCTTGAGACTTGAAAAACTGGAGCAACACTGGGTCTGTGTTGAGTTTCTGTGCAACTGTCTTTGCAACCTGAGGCACACCCCACTGAGTCTGGGAATGATGCGCATGGATTCTGGCTGGGTGATTTCCACCGACGCGGCTGCAGAGGTCAGCGTTACTGCCACCCCTAACTAACCGTCCACATTTGGGCTCAAGAAATACTTGCCTAAGTTTCCCTGATGCTTTCTCCCCAAGCTCCACGGCCTTTTTACATTCTTCTAACAGGTCCCGGACACACCCATGCTTGTCTGGATATAGTGTTATTTCCTAAGTAATGAAAAGATAAAATAAGTGCTTTCAAGAAAGCAAAGTCTGCTACCACAAAGGAAGAGAGGAGGAAGTTGCATCATTGTTCTCAACTGTCCCCAGCTGGCCCCCATGTTCTTGCTCTCATTCCCACCCCAACTCCCTCATCTGTGAATTCACTCTCAGTGAGAACACTGGCCCTAACCTAGAACCAACCAAATACTGACAGGAGGTTAACAAAAGTGGCCTTGATGCAAAAAGCCTGTCATTTACAGAACACCTTCTCAGGAAATGATCCTGAAGGGTCACCCAGGGCCTTCCCAATTCTCAGCACAATGAGAAAGGAATGCTGGTCCAGATACAAGACCAGAGGCAGACTGTGGGCCTTCAGGGAGCTCAGTTCTACAAAGGTGAGGCTATTTATGTCTCGAATTTTCCCTCTATATTTGTAGAGCTAGAAAGGGTGAGAGATCTGGCATCCAAATAGGTACACAGACTTTTTTGAAGAACCACCTAATGCCTGTAATGCCAACACTCTGGGAGGCCTAGGCAGAAGGATGCTTAATTAAGCCCAGGAGCTCAAGACCAGTCTGTACAATACAGTGAGACCCTGTCTCTAAAAAAAAAAAAAAATATATATATATATATATACACACACACACACGTATGAATGAGCTGGGCGTGGTGACATACACCTGTAATCCTAGCTACTTGGGGGCTGAGGTGGGAGGATCACTTGAGCCCAGGAGGTCTAGGCTGTCATGGGCTGAGATGGTGCCACTGCACTCCAGCCTGGGCGACAGAGCGAGACCCTGTCTCAAAAAAGAACCACCTAAAATGTGGCTGGGTGTGTCTTCTGTTTGGAGTAAGCATGTGACACTGGAGCTGTCTACACTAGCAGCTTGGGGAGTAAGCACACAGCGCAGTCAAGACCCACTCCATTCACAGGCCTGCTGGACTCCCTGAGACCAGGCCGTGGCAGGAATAGCTGGAGAAGGATCCTCCCCCTCAGCCAAGTGGCAATGCATAAGCATCACAGTGGGACCTGGAAGGGAAGGGCTGGCTTCCGAACAAATCGTTCCTTAGCTTAACGTGTGATGTACCCAAAGGCCTCAGGAGGTCTTGCCAGGAGGCAGGAAAGACTGGCCCAGGTCGCCCCCAGCCCCTTTCAAGTGCTGTTGTTTAGAGTGCTTTTCTTTGGTGTCTTAGTTTTCAACGTCTGGGGACAGGTAGAAACAATAAGCAAATTCCAATAAAAATTAAAATTTATAGTATTAAAAAAACTCACCTCTTCCCTAAATTGGCTGTTTAACCATATACATTTAAAACTTCGCCTGTTCTCAAAGTCTGTGATTTTCATCTTAAGCTATTAAGAAAAGAAAGATTCACGTCAGATACCGTCACCAAAAACCCAAGCCTTCTCTTTATTACCCATAGTTACATTAATTTGGACTCATACCTGCTGATAGTAAAGTTTCTTAGGTTGTCTAGGCTTGAAGAATTGTAGAAGATCTCTTAAAGTACCTTCATAATTATGTCTAAGAGGATTACCTGGGCCATCCCTATAACTACACAAGAAAACAGCATATAAATAAATGACTTGTTTATTTGCCTACAAACAAATATCTGTGAGTGAGCATAAAAGCAAACCACTGGCCTTACATCTGGACTTGAAATTTGGACCTAGCATGGGGTTTAACTTAATACTCCTGTTTCCCGAGAACTAAGTCCCACTCGCTGTCACACTTGAATGCTCTCTGCCATAGTGACAAAAGACCCAGCAGCCTGGCAGGACTGACCAGCTGGACACATGAGAGATGCACTGAGGATGTATCTAAAGTCAGTCTGGCTTTGGATGAGGCTGTCAATTATTTTAACATCTCAGAGTAATGTGGTCAAGATGTGAGTGGTGACAATTCTGAAACTAAGCAAGAAATGGCATGTCGGGTGAAATGGCGAGCTAATTATTAGTTCCAAGATGTTTCAATGAACTGTGGAAAGCATGCAGTCAACACCTAACAAGTGTCCGTGCATATGACTTACCCTTGTGACTTGAAAAACTGGAGCAACATTGGATCTGTGTTGAGCCTCTGTGCAACTGTCTTTGCAACCTGAGACACAGAAAGGAAGGTTCATATTTTGGGGAAAAAATTGAAACCTGGTCATAAACTTCATGATTAATTACGTAAAACGTGCTATGAGCAGCCTGAATTTAAATTCCGTAGGAATTTATTAAACAGGAATAAACTATATTATTCCTTAATGTATCACCATGGGAATAGCATATCTGATGAAGATAACTTTGAAAAGTTTTCACTTTTAATGGTGAGGTCTACAGGTTCTTTTCTGATGGCAATTATTCTAGCTCCCATGGCAGTATCAGCCTGAATCCACTTCAGTGGGAGATTTCCTCAGGCATAGCCCCTCCTGAACCAAAACCATGAGATAGCTTCTTCGACAAGCATTTTAAGAAAGAAATTTGTCTTTCTGGTGTGGGATCTGAAGAGGAAAGGAGCATTTATTAAATACCTGAAAATAATTCATTCTATTTGATAACGTAACCACAAATCCAGGATCATTAGGGATTGTTTTATCACAGAAAATGACATCAACGCGGTGGTAGAGATCTCGGAAATATTCCTTTGCGGTGGGTAATTCACTGTTATCATTTTCAGGGTCATCCCTGGTGGGGGGAGAAAGTTTGCAGTCTGAATCAAAGACCATGGCAGGGGGTAGCTGGTAAAAATGGCATCATCTTTTACACAACAGTGACACCAACAGGCTCTCTTGCAAGATAAATTCAGGTTCCCCTTTGTAAGCGAGACAAGTATGCAAGGGCATGCACTGAGCCAGGCACAACGTGGTGGCTTTACATTCTCATCCCACTACAAAACAAAACCCCCTTAGGTAACAGCACCTGCGCCTCCTCTACAGGAGCAGACTTGGACGCAGTGTCTTGCCCACAGACCTGACAGGTGGTGGAGCCCAGTCACTGACCGTGAGTCAGCAAATCAGGGCTTTCATGTGCCATCGAGCCGCTTTCAGACACTGAGTGTCTAAGACCAAAGACTGGTTGGTTTACATGAAGACAAACTGAAATGAATTACCCAAGTAGGTACATTCTAAGGAGTTTTGATTTCATAAATCTTAGGGGAAGGAAGCAATTGTTCCCACCCTGCTAACAGTTGCCACGTGCACTTGAGACATTTTAAGGAATTGAGAAGAGCTTTATGAAATGAAAATGTTCCCCACACCTAATTTCAAAACCCAGAGAAAGCCTGTCAACAGAGCTACATTAAAAAAACAAAAACAAAAACGTGGCTCAGGATCTAGGTACTTATGTTTCTTGGTTCTACAACTTAAAAAAATCCTGAAATTAGTAGAAAGTGATACAATCCTTCACAAAGTACATACTTCTGAAATACTATGATGTCACCATCCATTAGTTCATCAAGGGCTTTATCAAGAGACACGTCATAGTCCTGAATTCTCTCTGTTAAATTCGGTTTAACTTCCTACAGTGAAAGATATAAAATTGTTACATTGCAAAGTTTGTCTAATGTTTAATATGGCCAGAGAGTCTTCCATGTACTTAAGTATTTTCTGTACACCCAATTCTATTCACGTTTTAAGTTAAAATGTTAACGGAAAAAGCTAAATAAATAAATCCACAAATATGTAAAACTGATTCTAAAAAAATAAAAAATAAAAAATAAATTAAAAAAAAAAAACAAATCACAAATCTAAATATGTCATTCTCAAGATCATCTGAGGCCCTGAGTTAGTTGGTAGACCTAACAGAGTAACAAATTCGGGGTAAAAAGAACAAACAAAATCCTCCACAAACTACTAAGAATATACTAATTATGGAAAAATAAACCATCCAAACCTCATAGAGGATAAGGCTAGTATCTTGAATAAATCCTGCTCTGTCACACATAACTGGGAGCAAGTCACCTAGGAGAAAGAAGATATTGTAAATGTGTAGCTGTAATGTACTGAGCAAATTCTACTCCGAAGGTAAGTGCACAAAGGACTTACGTATTTTACAGGATATTGGTGTGTAGATATGCCCACAGTAATTCAAGCTCCGCGTTTTGGGATCATACATCTTCAAAAATAACATTACATCATCTACAAGGTTAATAAACAAGTTTTGTTAAGATCCAAACACTCAGTACAATGCTTAAAAAACAAAAAAAAAAACAAAAACAAAAAAACCAGTAAGCTGAATAGCTCAGTGACAAGTGAAATGACAGCTTAAGGTACCTAAAAGTTACTTCAGATGTGGCTTAGTCACGAAGCTGAGGCTATGACCGCAGAGTTTCCGAACATCAGACCCATGGAAACCCACTACATTTAGACAGTCAAGACGGTATTGAGTGCAGCAAACTTAGAATTCCTAGTTCTGAGACCTGGCACTGACTGGCTGGAAGAGCGTTGCCACGGGAAGATTGCGCATGGTCTTGTGTCTTTGCCAGAAGTGACCACTCACAGCAATAAAAGTGTCATTTTATAGCAAGGGTCAGCAAATTCCGATCCACCTGTTTTGTCGATAAAGTTGTACTGGAAGACAGCCAGCCCGTTCATTTACATATTCTTTGTGGCCGCCTTAGTACAGACAGAAAGGCCTGAAACGCCTGAGATATTGCCTATCTGGCCCCTGACAGACGTTTGCAACCCTGCTCTTTAGGATGTGACCAACGCGATTAGCACAGCACAGCAGCTGAGACTGAAGACAGAACAGGACGGCCCCACATGGCTGCTACTGTCTCCGGGCCTCACAGGAAACTTGCAGCCAAGTCAGTCTTATTTGACTTCATCAGGAAGTCAAGTGAGCATTTGTGGAATTGATCAACAGATCTTTCTGCAAGGGAAGAAGGCTTAACCCTGTGTGTTTAGAACAACAATCCAGGAATCCAACGCTACTGCTCTAAGTGCAGGCAGGCGTCTCGTGGGCACTTACGATCTTTATCAAACTTGGGTAAGGTCGCTCCACTAGCAGCCAGCTCGGGATCAACTGTTTCCAGGAATATTGTCCAAGGGTTTTCATTATCACTGAGCTCAATCATCTATTTCCAAAAGAGACGCTGATTTTAGAAGAGTCTAATGGCTTAGGTGACAGAGCGAAAAACTACAGTCAAGTACTGAAGAAAACGTCCAATTCTAGTTAAGTGGACCAAAAGGGAAACAAGCTGCACTAAGTGCAGAGGACTAACACCTCCTGTATGGTTCCAAACCAGATACGCTATTAACAATATTTACTGTTTTATTGCCGTCGGCTTCATTATCTAACATTGCTGGCCGTTTTGTTCCATTACTCCTTGCTTGCATGGGCCACAATCGAATTTGATCTTGTGGAAATCCCTGAAAAAATATTAAGAATAGATTAAGATAAAAACACACTCATATTTTAGTCCTCTGTATTACACACACATATGTATATACATATACATATATACACATATACATATACATATATACACATATACATACATATATAGTCAAAATGTTAATGTTAAGATTGTGATTGTAGGCCAGGTGCTGTGGTTCACGCCTGTAATCCCAGCACTTTGGGAGGCTGAGACGGGTGGATCACGAGGTCGGGAGCTCAAGACCAGCCTGGCCAAGATGGTGAAATCCCATCTCCACTAAAAATATAAAAATTAGCTAGGCGTGGTGGCGGGCACCTGTAATCCCAGCTACTCGGGAGGCTGAGGCAGGATAATTGCTTGAAACCAAAAGGCGGAGTTGCAGTGAGCTGAGATCGCGCCACTGGGTAACAAGAGTGAAACTCTGTCTCGGAAAAAAAAAAGAAAGAAAAAAGACTGCGATTGTAAGAAAAAGAATTCTAATTCTTTCCCGGTTGATTTGGACAACTGTGACTTATCCTTCAGGATCGAATGCCCATTTTACAAAAATAAAGAGGGGATGGGGGTGCAGGGAGTGGAGTGGAGAACGAGGAAAAGCGGTGGAAACATGTCTGCGAAATCCTGTGGGTACCCCAGAGCTGCAGTCAGGGGGTCAGTGGTTTTCTTGCACTTTCTCAGGTAGGAAACATTCCTGGGTCACACCCCTCACTGTCAGACAGTAGCTGGACCCAGCACCCACCCCCAAAGGCAGTTAGTCTTTTCTAGTGACAGGGAAGGAAGGTGGACCTTGGGAACCAGGGTGGGGACATCCATAAGACCGGCACGCACCATGGTCTGAGAGAGGCTCTGAACAAACTCGGCAAGCGAGGAGTTCTTCAACACTTTGAACACAGTGTATTTCACTTTTTCTTCATCGTACATGTCATTTCCTTGGTGGCCACAAAACTGGTCCTCTGCGACTATCTGAAAATTTGTATGAAAACACAGAAAAGACTTGACAACTGACAAAAAATGAGTCCACACTGAACACATTTAAACATTAAAATGCTGAAAACTCATTTTTTGTTCCAAAGAAACTTCTTCAGAAGACCAATGAAGAAAAACAGCATAAAATGACCAAAATGTAAACCTATTTATTTAGAAATAGGAGGCTGTGGGCTGGGCACGGTGGCTCACGCCTGTAATCCCAGCACTCTGGGAGGGTGAGGCAGGTGGATCACCTGAGGTCAGGAGTTCCAAGACCAGCCTGACCTACATGGAGAAACCCTGTCTCTACCAAAAATACAAAATTAGCTGGGTGTAGTGGCACATGCCTGTAATCCCAGCTACTCGGTAGACTGAGGCAGAGGTTGAGGTGAGCAGAGATCATGCCACTGCATTCCAGCCTGGGCAACAAGAGTGAAACTCCGTCTCAAAAAAAAAAAAGAAAAGAAAAAAGAAAAGGAGGCTGTGTTTCACTGCAATAACTTAACTCACCTATAAATTGGACCTAGCTACATAGCCAACTGTGAGATGACCTCCTCCCTTCTCCAACCCCTACAGTACTTTCTGAATCAACACACACCCTGACGTGCACTTGATCACTACTCTGCCTGGTGACCTGACTTCTGACACCCAAGTCTTTACTCCTGAACCAGCCCTGCCTGCCACCAACAGGGCCAGGTGTTACAAATGCTCAGGCAGCTGCCCAGAGCAGCTCAGGGCACAACAGTCCTGGTTTGTGTATCAGGAACTACTCTGGGACTGAGACCAAGCTCAGGAGAGCACGTGGAGCAGCTTCTCTCTGGGCAGTTGCCCTGCGGTGCGGTGGGTGACCCAATGGTCCTAGAGGGGCGGGGGCTGACCTGCACGTGCGTACAGAGATGGGTGCCCTGCTTCATGGTGACCCAGGAGTCCCAGAACGGTGGGGGCTGACCTGCACTTGCATATAGAGATGGGCTTCCTGTCGTTCCTTCCGCTTCTGAGCCTCGATCCTTTTCTCTTCTTGTAATCGCTCCACCAACTGCTGAGGAATATCATGGTCGGTGACCGCCTGTAAAACTTCACCTGCAGGACAAAGGCATCCTCTTTGACCTCTGCAGATGGACTTTCGCCTCCTTAGAAGCTCCTGATTCTAGGTCATCATTAATAAGATAATCTATTAGGCCAGGCTTGGTGGCTCATTCCTGTAATCCCAGCACTTTGGGAGGCCAAGGCAGGCGGATCACGAGGTCAGGAGATCAAGACCATCCTGGCTAACATGGTGAAACCCCATCTCTACTAAAAAAAAAAATACAAAAAATTAGCCGGGCATGGTGACGGGCCCTGTAGTTCCAGCTACTCAGGAGGATGAGGCAGGAGAATGGCGTGAATCCAGGAGGTGGAGCTTGCAGTGAGCCGAGATTGCGCCACTGCACTCCAGCCTGGGCGACAGAGTGAGACTTCGTCTCAAAATAAAATAAAATAATCTATTAACGTGAAATTACTTGGTACCATGAGTCTGCACAAGCCCAACCCTGCTTGTTTCTGGGCTGTTGTAAATATAGTGGAATAAGCATAAAACATGTCTGGACAAAAAAGGATACTGTGAATTCATGGTACAAATGTCAAGTCCACCACAGTAAAGGACAGAACAAAAGTGAACGCTACTCACTCAGTTTTGATTCCCTGATATAGACTAACATGTAAGCATTAGTGCAGTGTCGAACAGACAGGTCGTCATCGTGACCCCCATAATTGTGCTCAATTGCTTCCTCTTTAGTGCACCTTGACACGACGTCGTCATCAAATTTACACCACTGCAAGGAAAGCAACACACATCAGCAGCGATCAAGCACTGTGACAAGCACCCAACACTAGACGGCAGCGTTGTTCTAAAATGTGTGAACTAGGTATGCCCCAGTTGAAAAAATATACATGTGTATACATACACAGGCACACAACTTGATGGTGTGCTAGGCAGGCAGAGCCTCAGGTATCCACTCATACAATTCACTAGGACCTTTGCCATCCCCATTCAACATTCTGTGGGCATTACTACCGTTCGCCCAATGGCAATTTTTCTAATCTACTCAAATAGCCCGTTTTCCATTTAGGTTCAATCTACTGACATTACCAACTCTTTACAGAATTAAAAAGGCCATACTGAGCACACCAAATGAGAGTTCAAATTTTATCCTTTAGTTATATAATTAAATGAGTTGTTTTATCCTATCCCATGGCATTTTATGGAATCAAGTTAAGGGCCAGACTGAAGTCAACATGGCATGTCTCTAACAGTTATCTTCCCATCTGCCTTGTGGATGGTGCCGTATTAAATAGTGGCGAGCGCTACTGTTACAGGTACTCTTCACTGTTTTCTCATGCTGTGGGGTCCCTCCATCAAATCTCCTTGGCAGGAGCTGGGTGCTGGCCCTGTGGTCTTGGAGGTAGATTCCAAGATCCTCATGTGCCAAATGAGTATGGCGCCCTCTACGCTCCCAAGGGTGGTGGTGAAGACTGCATGAGATCCCCATGAGAGGAAACAAGTGAGGACCAGGGGGCATGCAGAGGGACATGCAACCAGCCGGCCTCTCCGACTGGGCCCATGGCATGGGTAATTATGCCACAAGCATTCAGAAGAAAATGTAAGTGTCTCACATGAGATATAAGGGATTCTGTAGGTTCCAACGTTGATTACTAACGAAGAGAAGCACAAATGCTAATTTACTATTTCCCTTCAAATCTCAGCAATTAAATGGATGGGACAACAGCACGTAGTAGCCAGAGAATACACAGATCAATTAGGGGTCCCTGACAAGGTCCCAAGTAGGAACCAAAACAGGCTGAAGCAGAGCGTCTGTGTTAACTTTCTGATGAGCTCGCATTCAGTCCTGGGTCCCAGCACTTACTTTGCCATCCCCTTTAGGGTTTAGATAAACCACATAATGTCCACCATGATTATCTCCACTATGAACCAGGACTGCATGAAGAATATAATTTGCAGGGTCCTTAGGATCTGTTTTTTGCAAAAATTCATCAAGTGGTAACTGCTCTGGGAATTCAAACCTATTAGAAAACATTTTAAAAGAAATTCAGTATTAATTTACACAAAAAAAATCACACTTTAAGTAAGGCCATTTAATGTATTGGCTCATCTTTAATGTGATAAGCATGAACTGCCTTGGGAAGGCCTATGAACTACATAACGTAATGTCTACTTGATGGAAATAATTATTCCTAGTCAACATAATAAATACACACTACGAATAATTTAGGCTGGGGGAATTCCAAATATATCAAGAAATGATTCTGAGGGTCGAGAGGTTAAGACTACTAAGGATATCTGCAAACTGAGAAACATGAAAAATCAAATTCAGAAAGACATGTAAAAATATTTCCCACTCTGAATATCGACTTAGTTTTAATATTCTACAGACATCCTGAATTCGACAAAGTTTTAACTGGCTCTACAAATTTTGATTTACTTGACCAAATTTCACCATCAGGGTTGCAAAATTAAGAGGCAGGAAGGCAAGTTCCACGGGTGGGGGCTGGTCCCAAGCACAGCATTCGCCTCGCCTGTGAAGCAGCCAGCACTCAGTTCACAGCCCCTGCAGCCTTCAGGAATGGTGGCCTCAAGTTGCCAAACCTTCGGATTCCTAAACGATGCCAAAATCTTAGCATCTATGTAAAATCTCACAATTTAAAAAATGTTTGCCACTGGCTCCAATAAAAACAAAAACAAAGTAAGGACCTAAAGAAACATACCAACAGGTGGGAATTGGTCTGAAGGCTGCCAGTTTGTGAGTTCTGGCTGAGATAGCTTCTGACCCATATAAAGACTGAATGGGTGACGAAAGGCTCAGCTGGTGGCAAGTAACATGATTTGATTATACTCTCCGTCAAACCTGAAAGCTGAATGACCAATCTACATTCCATACAAAGCTGGTGCTCAACCTACTCAGGATAAAACTACTGTATCCTCTATCAGACAAGGTAGTGCACACTGTCACTCCTGCACCTGGTATTTTAACAATCTAAAAACTACTTGTGGCTGGGGGTGGTGTTTCATGCCAGTACTCCCAGCACTTTTGGGAGGCTGAGGCCAGCAGATCACTTGAGACCAGCCTGGCCGGCATGGTGAAACCCTCACTCCATTAAAATACAAAAATTAGCCAGGTACTTGGAAGGCTGAGGCACAAGGATCGCTTGAGCCCACCAGTTCAAGGCTGCAGTGAGCCACGATAGTGCCACTGCACTCCAGCCTGGGCAACACAGCAAGGCTCCATCTCAAAAACATAACAAAATAAATAAAAATAGGGCCGGGCGCGGTGGCTGAAGCCTGTAATCCCAGCACTTTGGGAGGCCAAGACAGGCGGATCACGAAGTCAGGAGATCGAGACCATCCTGGCTAACAAGGTGAAACTCCGTCTCTACTAAAAAATACAAAAAACTAGCCGGGCGTGGTGGCAGGCACCTGTAGTCCCAGCTACTCGGGAGGCTGAGGCAGGAGAATGGCGTGAATCCGGGAGGCGGAGCTTGCAGTGAGCTGAGATCTGGCCACTGCACTCCAGTCTGGGCGACAGAGCGAGACTCCGTCTCAAAAAATAAAAAAAATAAAAATAACTACTTGTAATTGGCATACAAACAACTACTTTAGCATTCCTGAAAACTCTAGCACATTCTAGAAGTTGACGTCAACTGAGAGACAACAAAATATTGGAAAATCCTATTTAAACAAATACACTAAAAGTCCCTGTGAAATAACATTTACAATTGGTCAAAATTAAATTTATTAGAAATCCTGTGAATGCAAGATCTGTGAAGCAGAAACAGCCCCATCCTTGTGGACTTAAATCAGCCACAGCAGACAGCAGAGCTGGGACTGAGCAAAGCATCTTGAGAGGGGAAACAGACTCGGCAGAGGCGGCCTCTGAAACTTGACATAAAAGAATTCCTTTAACACTGCTGCTCTTGGGACACAGAGGTAGAAGGGAAATCTAAATAAATCAGACATGGGACTGAAAATACAAAGACTGAGGAAAGCACTGAGACTAACCCCCTAGACCAGCGCAATGATGAAATCTTAACTTTACATCCCACTACAGATTACCTATCATTGATCTTGATATTTTGGTCCGTCTGAGGGTCATACATAAATCTCATCAGTTGTAGATGTAACACTGGTGGCAATGTTAGGAATTTCACACCTTTCTCGGCTTCCTGAACAATGAAAAAGAAATGCAAATGTAGTTAGCCTCTACTTACTCCTGGAAGCAATGAAATCAACAGCGGCTCAGCAAGATTGGAACATGTCTGGGGACTCTGGAGACAAAGGCAGGGAAGTTTAGATGTCCATTTAGGGCATCTTTGAAATGTTTTCTTTAGGTCTGTTTATGGGTCTCTTTGTTCGTTAAAATAATGCTGCACCAGCATGACTGTGAGATTCTCTTACCTTGGATTGTATTCTAACTTGATATCCAGCAATGGGGGAAGAAATGGTTAAGGAAATTTAGACAGTCATTTGCTGCTGAATTATACAGTCATTAAACACTGTGAAAATTATGGAGATCCACAGAAAAATCGTTAAATGGAAAAGCAGAAAACTCTGGTTATAATTACGCAAGATTAGGTATGCTTATGAAACGCCCCAACAGAACAAGTAGCAATGAACCCAGTGATGGGTTGGCAGGATTATAAGCTTCCTTTCCTTGGGCTCTTTGATGTTTGCATAAGAATCCATGTATCACAGGGCACGCCCTTAGTGCTTATGGCTCAATCCCACTTCTAAGAAAGTTCTGATCCAGTGTCAGCAAGGCCCTTCCCCAGCTGACTGCCAGCCTCTGTGGGACAGGACACCCCAACTTCTCAACAAGCCTTCTCTGGGGACATCGGACTCTACAGCTCTCGCCCCGCTCTGTCTCTGCTCCATCTTGGCCAGCTCTTTGTTCCTCAGTAAAATCAGGCTTTGCCGATCTCACCCACGGCCAGGTGGTCAGGGTCCCTCAATGCACGTCTGACTCACAGCTGTATTTCCAATGCAGACTTTCCTTCTGGCTGGAAACCCACCTGCCCCGTAGCTAGCAAGAGACCTGGAGGAATTGGGGGCCATAACAAGACACACCCGTATGCCAAGGTTCTTGGATGTACATGAGCTGCTCGTTTAAGACAGGGCTATCTCAGTAAAGACAAACACAGACCTCAGGAACCCACTCCACAGTGGGGAAGGGCCTGTTTTTAATACAGCCTGAAAGATAAAAGGATTCTGTCTCCACCGCTGTCCACTGAGGCTTTGACTCAAATACATATTGCTCAACCAGACCCTAAAACATCCAGAATAGAAAATAATAATTCTTGTGAGAAGACCAGAATATTTCTTAACCACACCAAGCTGCCAAAGTTCTCATTAAAAAATAACTTTCTGGCCAAGCGCAGTGGCTCACACCTGTAATCCCAGCACTTTGGGAGGCTGAGGCAAGTGGATCACAAGGTCAGGGGTTCGAGACCAGCCTGGCCAATATGGTGAAACCCCATCTCTACTAAAACTACAAAAATTAGTTGGGCATAGTGGCGGGTGCCTGTATCCCTGCTGCTCGGGAGGCTGAGGTAGAAGAATTGCTTGAACCCAGGAGGCGGAGGTTGCAGTGAGTCGAGATCGCACGACTGCACTCTAGCCTGGGGAACAGAGCGAGGCTCCATCTCAAAAAAAAACAAAAAAAAAAAAACAAAAAAAAACAAAAAAACAACTTTCTGATCTATACCTCAGTTTCTCAGTCCAACTGGACAGACCTAGCAGAAGAGTACATTTGAAGCTGACTACAAAATGGGTACACGGGCATCATGAAGTATACACTGGCAGGCTTTGTAAGCACACACTGGCCTGAAATTTTTAATTATAAATCAGTTGAGTCAATGAGTCAAGGTTATAAGATGACATAACAGACCCTGGATCACTGGATCCACGAGAACACTGCAGATCCAACAGACCAGCCAGACCAGCAGCCAGGAACAGTTCATTTCCCTCCATCCAAGCGGGGGCTGGCCACCTGGTCACGCACCATGCTCACTGCTCTGTCAGATGCCCAGTGTGTTCTCTAGGGGCCATAACCCTAGAGAACACACTCCTCATTCTAAAGTCGGGATCCTCAGAAAACTAAATTCATTAAAAATACATTTAAAAATAAAGCAACACGACCTAAATAAACACAGTCCAACTCACCAAGAAATGCCACTTGTGACCAGGAGAAACTGAAGGAAAACTGGAGCAGTGACACCAGTAAGGTGAGGAACGGGGAAAGGATAAGATTCCTAAAACCCCACGAGACCCTCCATCCTGCTGGATGTGCTTCTACGGGATAAATCAGCTGCACTCCCATGTCCTAATACCCCCTCACCCTCCCCATTCGACTATCCAAGAAACAGAATCCTTGTATACTCTAAATACCAGAAACACATGAAAGGGCACAAGCAATTTCTTATTTAGCAATTAAAAGAACTGAAAATAAAGAAGAAAACTACAATATGACACTAGCACAAAACACCCAAGTTACCTGTAAGCCATGTTCCCCAGCGTCGTATTTATTGTCCCCATCGAGCTGTTCTACTGCCACATAATCCACAAATGATTCAAATACTTTGGAAAAGAGAGAGAAAAGTCAATTGCTAAAGCTTCATTTATAATATAGCCAACCCAGGTATAAGTTATTTAAATCAGCATATTTAGGAATAGCAGAAAAGGTAAACAACACTAATTAACAACAGTAATTCTCCCCCTGTAGCCAATACTGTAGGTAAATGTGCTGTTAGCACCTTTGCTCATTGGCCAAAGGTCATTAGTATCTTTCTTAAGGACGTTAAAATGACAATATGGAGGTAACAGTTAAGGTTTTACTGTTATTTGAACAAAGCACACACTGTAAAGCTATGATTATGAAGACAGCTTGGAATTGGGCAGTATGGACCACCCCTTGGTCTCAAAAGCAGAGATGCACAAAGGTGAACGGCTGCCTGATGTGGCAGAACAACAAGGAAACCCTCGATTTCCTCAGAGGTCAACACGGGATGGAGTGGAAGTTGGTCCTGGCATCTCCTCACCCCCACTTATTCCAGGTGGATTGTAGATAAATGGAAAAGGCAAAATAGTAAAAAGTAATAGAATTTTACAGGACATAAAAAGCAAACAAGGACACACTGTATTTCCCTAAAATTAAGAATGGTAACATTAAGAGTGAAAGGAGGAGCCACATGCTGAGGGACAAGCTCTCAATCCAACACAGAATTGTGCAGCCAGAGTGTATGGAGAGCTCTTCCTGCTCCGATCATGAAGGAAACACGCAACTGCACAACGCTGAAAACAGCTGCAGTCACGCTCCGAACACATGTGGTACAGGACAGGGATCCCTGACGGGACAAATGAGAGTCCCGTGATGGGCCCAGCTCTGCTGAGAGTTTACAGGCTGCAGCCAGCGAAAGGCAAACCCAGAAGGAGCCAAGAAGTGAGAATCAGAGGAGCCCAAGGGAGCCGGAACCTGAGGGGCAGAGTAGCCTAAAGCAGAATGCTGCCCAGAAAGCAAGACTTGGGGATGCGCAGTTTCTTCCGAAGCTGTCAGTGAGAACTGACTAGTGAAATCGAGGAAATTACCTGGGGCAAGGGAAAGAAGCAGCAAGAGGATGAGGACTCGGGGGAACAACCTTCAGAGCTCATGACAGGCTGGGAAGTCTGTGTTCCCATCAGTCACAGCGGAAAAACCTCTGAACACCTGGGAGACTCAGCTAACAACTAAAAGGACGTGGGGACAGGTTATCCCTCAAGTAAAACCTGTTCTCCCATCTAGCAAGGCTTAAAAACAAGACTCAAAGGAAGCAAATGATTAACAAATCACTTATCTGTGCGTAAGAGCAAAGGTTAGTAATATCTAACGCCCAGCAAGATAAAAATCACCATGCCTGCTGTTCAATAAAAAGGTTACCAAGCATGTGGCCCAGTACAGTGGCTCTGTGGCTCGCGCCTGTAATCCCAGCACTTTGGGAAGCCGAGGCGGGTGGATCCCATGAGGTCAGGAGTTCAATACCACCCTGGCCAAAACATGGTGAAACCCCGTCTCTACTAAAGATGCAAAAACTAGCTGGGTGTGGTGGCGGGCACCTGTAATGCCAGCTACTCAGGAGGCTGATAGGAGAACTGCTTGAACCCAGGAGACGGAGGTTGTAATGAGCCGAGACTGCGCCACTGCACTCCAGCCTAGGCGACAGAGTGGGACTCCGTCTCAAAAAAAAAAAAAAGAAAAAAGAAAAAAAAAAAGATTACCAAGCATGCAAAGAAGCTGAAACCACCACCCAAGACAAAGAGAACAATCCTTCAATAGAAACAGACGCAGAAATCTCACAGATGACAGAATTAGTAGACAAGAGCATTATCAACTTAAGTCCAAAGGAGAAGAAAGCAAGAGCACACTAAGAAGAGACACAGGGCTGGCCATGGTCCCAACACTTCGGGAGGCCAAGGCGGGCAGACTGCTTGAGCGCAGGACCTCCGAGACTGGCCTAACACGGCAACACCTTGTCTCCAAATAATTATAATTAATTGATAAATACATCGAAAAAAAAAGAACAGATACAGATTTCCATTTAAAAAAAAATCCAGGCCAGGAGCAGTGGCTCAAGCCTGTAATCCCAGCACTTTGGGAGGCCGAGACGGGCGAATCACAAGGTCAGGAGATCGAGACCATCCTGGCTAACAAGGTGAAACCCCATCTCTACTAAAAAATACAAAAAACTAGCCACACGAGGTGGTGGGCGCCTGTAGTCCCAGCTACTCGGGAAGCTGAGGCAGAATGGTATAAACCTGGAAGGCGGAGCTTGCAGTGAGCTGAGATCCAGCCACTGCACTCCAGCCGGGGCGACAGAGCACAACTCCGTCTCAAAAAAAAAAAAAAAAAAAAAAAAGAAAGAAAGAAAAAAATCCAAGTCAAATTTCTAAAAATAAAAAAAAAAAAAATTTTAAAGTCTGAAAATCGGGCCAGGTGCGGTGGCTCAACCCTGTAATCCCAGCACTTTGAGAGGCCAAGATGGGCAGATCACGAGATCAGGAGATCGAGACCAACCTGGCTAACAAGGTGAAACCCCATCTCTACTAAAAATTACAAAAAACTAGCTGGGCGAGGTGGCGGGCGCCTGTAGTCCCAGCTACTCGGGAAGGTGAGGCAGGAGAATGGCGTAAACCCGGGAGGCGGAGCTTGCAGTGAGCTGAGATCCGGCCACTGCACTCCAGCCTGGGTGACAGAGCAAGACTCTCTCTCAAAAAAAGAGGAGAGAAGAGGGAAGAGAGAAGAGAAGTGAAGTGAAGCGAAGTGAAGTGAAGTGAAGCGTGAGACGCTTGGGGCCGAGAAACAAATGAACAAGAGTGAGGACGCTACCGCCCACTTCTCAGAAACGATGCGAGCAAGAAGATGGTGGAACATCTAACAGACCAAAGGCAGGAACCTGCCAATCTAGAAGTCTACACCGACTTAAAATGTCTTTCACAACTGCAGATAAAATAACATCTTTCCAGGCATGCAAGCTGAAAAAACTCATCTCAGCCAACCTGTACTCAATGATTCCTAGTAAGAATCCATATCCAAATTAAAAACAGAGGAGCACTGCAAGCTGTAAGTATGCGGGTCAACATAAAGCACTTCCCCTCCTCACTCTTTTTATTTTATTTTACTTTCTTGAGACAGGCACTCGCTCTGTTGCCCAGGATGGAGTACAGTGGCGCAATCATGGCTCGCTGCAGCCTTGAACTCCAGGGCTCAAGCTATCCTCCTGCCTCAGCCTCGAGTAGCTGGGACTACAGGTGCATGCCACCACACCCAGCTAATTTTTGTAGTTTTTGTAGAGATGGAGTCTCACTATGTTGCCTGTCTCACTGTGTTGCTGGCCTCAAACTCCTGGGTTCTAGCAATCCTCCCGCCTCAGCCTTCCAAACTGCTGAAATTACAGGCATGAGCGACCACACCCATCCTCCCCCTTATTTTAAATATTTCTTTAAAAGAATGACTATAAATCAGTTAAGGGGAAAAAAAGAAGCCAATACTAAAATTGTTAAAGTATTTAAACAAGCATTTTATAAAGGAAGATATCCAAATTGCCAATAAGCATTTGAAAAGGTAAGAACAACCTCACTGATCTTCAAGGAAATACAAACTAAAATGCAGACAGCACCATATATACTCCCACCAAAATCTTTCCACGTCCGGCAACTGACAGCTCCAGTGTGGGTATGGAGCAACTGTAACTCTGACACCTTGCTGATGACTGTGAAACTGATAAACCACTTTGGGAATCTTGCTAACTTTATCCATCAAGCTGAACATATGCACACCCTACAGGCCAGTAATTCCTCTTCCTCCAAATGCAAACAGGCATTAAGAATGGTCAATCTGCCTTATGTCCAACCACCTCAAACGGAGACCAACCCAAATATCAATCAGAAGAAGAAAGATTTCGGCCGGGCGCGGTGGCTCAAGCCTGTAATCCCAGCACTTTGGGAGGCCGAGACGGGTGGATCACGAGGTCAGGAGATCGAGACCATCCTGGCTAACACAGTGAAACCCCGTTTCTACTAAAAAATACAAAAAAACTAGCCGGGCGAGGTGGCGGGCGCCTGTAGTCCCAGCTACTCGGGAGGCTGAGGCAGGAGAATGGCCTGAACCCGGGAGGCGGAGCTTGCAGTGAGCTGAGATCTGGCCACTGCACTCCAGCAAGGGGGACAGAGTGAGACTCCGTCTCAAAAAAAAAAAAAAAAAAAAAGAAAGATTTCAAAATTTTTGTGGTATATTCTCAAAATGGAATACTATAAAGCAACACAAATGATTACTATGACTAGTCCCAGTGTGGATGTATCTCATGAATGTGCTCAGCAAAAGAAATCAGACACAGGCTGGACACGGTGGCTCATGTCTAATTCCAGTGCTTTGGGAGCCTAAGGCAGGAAGGCTGCTTGAACCCAGGAGTTGAAGACCAGCCTGAGCAACAAAGCGAGACCCCATCTCTATTTAAAAAAAAAAAAAAAAAAGCTGGGTGTAGTGGCACACACCTGTGTTCCCAGCCACTGGGGAAGCTGAAGCAGGAGGAGTTTCAGGCTGCAGTGAGCTACCATTGCACCATTGCACCCCAGCCTATACAGCACAAGACCCTATCTCAAAAAACAACAACAAAATAAACAAATACATCCTACTACAAAATTCTATTTAAATAGACACCTAAAACATGCAAAGTTAACCGAGGCTGTTAGAAGTCCACATGGTGGTTTCCTGTGAGGAGAGGGAGGCGGTGGCTGGGAAGGGCTGTGGGGGTGCTGGCCAACACTAGAGCTGGGTGGAGGTGACAAGCCTGAGTCCACCCAGTGAGCTGTTTGCTTAAGATCTGAGCCATTCTCTGTGTTTAGACTGTTTAAAAAAACACCACTTGTGTAAATGAAACATTAAACCACAATAGAAATCATCAAAAGATCATGCCATTAGATACACGCAACACTTACTATTTTTCTTTCCTTTGATACTTAGCTGGATATCATAATAATCTTCTCTTCTATCAGACCGATAGTCTACTTCTTTACACTGGATATAGGACTGCAAATAAGGAAAGTTAAAAGTGACTTAAGTAGTAATAGTCAAAAAATTCATATTCTAAAACCTTTTCAAAAGATCTTTTAGAACTGGTAGCCACATACCACCATTTTGCCGCGGAATAATTTGGGTATAGTGCCCTCTACACAGGTGCCTTTCATCTTATTTTCCACATTATCAAGCAACTGAAAAAGAAAGTTTTGGCTTTAAAAAAAGGTTTTTATGCTTAATATATACATTAATTTTATAATTGACTACAAATATCAATGTTCAAAGAAGTCGTAGACTATAAAAATATGACCTCCGGCATGCAATTATCAAAAACATATACAAAATCTTCTTTCTTGGTTGGATTTTTACAAACATCTCTACATGCAACAGTTGAGGTTAACCTTTTATACAGCCTTTGGAATAAATTAGTAATCTGTAGTGCCTTTAGAAGCATTTTTATATTTTTTTTACCTCTGTGGAAAAGCATGTAAAATTGTTCACTAAACTTAACTCGTAATGGTCCACACCAAGAGATTAATGAGGTTGAGCCTGTCAACAGGATTAACTGGTTTGTCCATGGATATTTAATGAACTGGATTCAATCCAGCTAGTGCTGCAAAAAAGAAAACACACCTTGCCCAGCCAATCACCTTGAACAGCCATTTCATGTTGTGTGTGTGTGTTTCTGTGTCTTTAATCACAACTGGAAGAATGAGGATTTGCTAGCGACTAGTGACGCCACGGGGAGAGTAATCGCCGCATACTGAGTTCTGCTCAGTGAGAACCTCGCTGCACAGGAGGGGTCTGGACACTGGAGTAAGAACAGAAGTCACCACTCTACAGTGACTCAGGACCAACGGGACAGCCAACAAAGCCAGTCTTTGGTTCCTGGATTAGTAACTCATGTATATATACCAATTTAACAAATTAAAAGCCTACTGCCTGCTAGTATAAAATTCAAGCTTCCTCACTTCACCTTCAAATCCCTATTCAAATAATTCTTACCAGCCTTTAAAACTAGACAGCTGCTGCCTTTTTGTAGCCTCAGTCTGATCCTAAACAAAGATGGGCATTTTCTGAATTAGGTCTGAGGTTTTACTTGGTAATAACTCTGACAATGCTTCAAAAAATATTCATTGTAAGAAATATACAAGTACTGCTTGAAACTTACCACTCGACAAAGCTCCTGAACATCGTGTTGCATGAAGCTATCTAAAGTTTCCCACCTTTCAAAGATAAAACAAACATCTCCATTTAAACGCTCAACTTTCAAATGAGCAAATTAAAAGTAACTTAGATTGAAAAACTAAACTAGATAGTCAGTTATTATTCTCAAATTCCTTTCCTGTGAAGACTATTTTTGGGAGTTATAATTCAGATGGATTTACTGCTAGGGGAAGTGGTGTTTCCAAGAAAATGTAACAAATTTGAAAGCAATACAGGTTCTTGTGTTGAAAGTAAAAACCTTAAGCGGTGAACTCTTTCTCAAGCAAAATTCTAAAACAAAGTATCTATTTCCAAAGAAATGAAACAAAATACAATGATAAAAGCACTGACACCATTAAATGCTCAAGTCTCCCTAAATTAAGTGCCTACAGTATGCTCTACTAACTTTCCTATTCTCTACTCATTTGTCCTTTAAAAAAAAAAAAAAAAAAAAAGAGGAAGCAGAATGGCAAAGGCAGATGTCTAATACATACCCAAATGACTTTGTTAGCTTTTTTGTTCCTACAGGTTTATCACTGTGTTGTAATTCATAGAACACCCTTTGTAATGCTAAAGGGACGCTTTTAGATGAATCGTCCCCCTCGGTTGGCATCATGTATACAGCCTGAAAGAATTAATTCAGATTTAAGAATTTATTCTGAGAAGATGCAGGGAAATTTAAAAAACAGTAAGAATTTAATCTTCATGTTTTAAAAAATCATTTCTAATAACACAATGGCTAAGATTGTTGTTAGGGCTTTTAATGATCCCCAAATCGATGAGAAAGTTTACAAAATCATGAACATCTTTAGGGATACTGGAAAACACAAAAATGCAAAAATAAATTTTGAAAATCACCACCCATGTGAGACGGAGTTTCGCTCTGTCTCCCAGGCTGCAGTGCAGCGGTGTAATCTCAGCTCACTGCAACCTCCGCCTCCCAGGTTCAAGCAATTCTCCTTCCTCAGCCTCCTGAGTAGCTGGAATAACTGGCATGCACCACCACGCCAGGCTAATTTCTGAATTTTCAGTAGAGACGGGTTTTCGCCATGTTGGCCAGGCTGGTCTCAAACTCCTGACCTCAGGTGATTTGCCCACCTTGGCCTCCCAAAGTGCTGGGATTGCAGGCGAGACCCACCGCACCCGGCCTCACCCATATGTTCTTGATAAAAAGATAATAGAGAAAGAAGCAAACAAAAAACAAAATCACCCCCCAGAGAACTACTTTTATTTCCTACTTATTGGAGCACCATTTCTTAACTTAGCATTACTTGTGAACAAAACATTTGATAAAAACTTAAATGTGACTAGAATTACCCACACTGAGCTGTCCCTGGGATATATCATGACAAACCTGTCTGGGTGGCTGTGCAAACATGCTTTCAAGGCTGACAAGCCAGGCAGCTCCCTGCCCCCCACAACCAGGTGTGCCGATCTCCTGTGCTGCTTCATAATAATCACATGTAATTCTCAAAGTAGAACTGACTGACTCAGCTATACTAGATTTAATGTATGTCTATTCTTTTTATTGAAATTTTCAATAAAAGTAAGTTGCATTGACTTTTCAACTCAGTTTTGATATAAAACTTTGCAAATGTTGCTGTTAATGGATTTTATGATTGTTTTTCTAAATACCTTCACAAGGTGATTTCTAACACAATGTTAAGTCTGTAAACTTAGGTCATGGTTAGGCATGGTGGCTCACGCCTATAATCTGAGCCCCTTGAGAAGCTGAGGCAGGTGGATAGCTTGGGGTCAGGAGTTCGAGACCAGCCTGGACAACATGGTGAAACCCCACCTCTACTAAAATATAAAAATTAGCCGGCTGTGGTGGCAGGTGCCTGTAATCCCAGCTACTCAGGAGGCTGAGGCCAGAGAATCACTTGAACCCAGGAGGCAGAGGCTGCAGTGAGCCAAGGTCACACCATTGCACTCCAGTCTAGGTGACAGAGCGAGACTCCGTCTCAAAGGAAAAGGTTGGCGGTGGTAACTCTGAAACACTGAAGCAGTTTACAAAGTAGGTGTCCCAACACTGGGGAATGAAAATGCAGCATGAACTAGCAGCCATCTAAGGAGACAGGGCCAGGGGAGGGAGACTGGGATGTTTGTTGAGAAGACTTTGCTCTGATATACCTGAGAGGAAAGGGTGGGCAGAAGGCTGCAGGAGAGGAACACTATCCATTTACCTTTCGTAGCTGATTCGTGAAAAATAACGTCTGTAGCAGGCTGTTCATGTAACAAGTCGCTCCCTGATTCTTTAAGCCGACATAGCCTGTGTGCTTCTTTGAATCCCACCTGAAAAATCAGTTCAAGGTTGAGGGGATCTTGCAGAGATACCCCACTGCTCCTGCAGTATGTGTGGAACAATCTGACTCAAGGTCAGCCTTAAGGAAACCGAAGCCAGGAGCACTTGTCACACAGCATCCTTCGATGGTCACCGATACCCTTCTGCTTGCTCCACTGTGTGAACTGGTGCAAATGCAACCCCCACATTCACACAGCCCTCGAAGCACCTGCCTGCTGACAGTGGCACTCCTGTCACTGATCAAGCCCAGCACCAACAGACACTTAACGGAGACCTGCAGGCTCATACCCAACATGCCTCACAGTAGAGTCTGGTTACATAATTACACTTATGACACGCGAGGTCAGCACAACATGAAAAAAGCTGAAACTTATCTTTTCTGTAGACCCACACACAAGAAGAAACAGGAGTGTGTATTTGCCAAGTTTTGCCTCAGACTTCTAAACTCCCAGAGCTTTTTTTATTTTGTGATTTTGGTGGTTGTTTGGGGGAAGATAAGATTCTCGGAATTAACTATGTCTTGTACCTTTCCACCCCCACCCCAAGTAGTAAAAGGAAGCCACAGAGAACAGTGCCAGAAAGTAGAGCAATCCTCCCACCTCCACGCCCATCTCCCTCTGTACACAATGCCATGACATGAACACATGACAGTCACCAAGCAGGACCAGTGCTGGAGGAGACACCTACTGCGCAGTACCATTCACCCACCCTGCCACTCCAGGGGTTAGTTCCCAGCCTTGGAAATGCTCAAGTACACCTAACGGCCTGGTCATGCCTCTTTACTCCTCGCTCACCATGTTAGTTGTTGGTGATGCTCGCCTCTTCCCTCAATCCCCTCTTCCTCACACTCGGAGAGGACTTCCTCCCTGCCCTCATCAAAGTAACAACAGAGCACCTCTGCTCTGGGTATTTATGTACTGGTTATTATACAATTATGTTCCAAGGGTCTAACATGTAGAACTGCTCAATCAATCCATTAAAAGAGTGGCAAGCGGGCATGACTCTGTGTGCCACAGAGCAAGCGCAAAGAGGACGCTTACTGATTAAATATGTGCATCTCTGTTACATGCATGCCAAAGCTTCTTTCACTGCAGCACAAAAGACATTTTTAACAGCACCCAATTAAAGAAAAACTTACGCAACTCCATGGGGAGCATCCGCCTGTACAAAGACTTCAAAGGTAACTTTGTCATCATCTATAAATCCTTTCTCAGGATCGGTCACTTCCTATAAAACATAAATAAGAATATCCTGCTTGAATAAGAACACACACTTTATTCCCAAGAGACAAATTACATTAGTACCCTGTATTTAATACAGATTAAAATACTTTTTAAAACATACATCCCAACTTTGTTGCTAATTGTAGACTGTTTCAATTTGCTTTTAACAGTGGTCTCACAACACACACAGCAAATGCTTGGCACCTCAGAGGCATCCCAGAGGTACCCAGGGGCTCAGAGCCACAGCATGGACAGGAGAAATCTGTGCTCCTCCAAGCAGGCGAGGGGAGGGGCTGGAGAAGGCAATGATAAGTGACTTAGCGGAGTAAGAAGGAACATTCCTAGATTGTTCCACCGGCTACCACCTCTGCAAAAAGGAGCCAAAATGAACTGAATGAAGTTACTGGAGTCACGTGGAACCACTCAGTACTATGCCTGAATCATGAAAGGACCTCAAACAGCATTATGTCTTTTAAAGGAAATTTAGCCCACTGGGAACTCCCTTTGAATAACTGACTACAAGGTGAGACGTGAATCCAGAAAGCTGCTAAAAACCTAGAATAGGAAACTGGAGAAAACATGTTTTCAAAGACACCTGTCCAATTCAGAAAGCAAAAATCAAGCTCTAAAATGAATAAGGGACTTGAAAAATCAAAAAGGTAAGGGAACAACAAGCAGTAATGCACCGATTATTTAGACTAAATACACCGTTACTTACACTCCAGGCCATAAAATTGGAAAATCCCCAATCATTTTCTTTATGGAAGAACAAATGACTAATACGACGACTGAACGACTTTTCATCATCTCTGTAATTTATTATCTTCAGCACTGCTTGCGCATGGCAAGACCACGACCTGTTTAAAAGAATAATCTGAGCCTTAGTTGACATATTCACCAGATGTTACACATTTTTAAAGACAGTAAACATAGCACACCAAAATTCCCACTGATGTTTTTGTTGCTCTCTCCTTTCCGGTTGGGGTTAAAGGTAGGACGGAGGCATTTTTACCTTCAATAGAAAAAAGGGTGTTTGGGGCTCCCCCAGTGTATTCTGTAGGGATTTCACTCATGGTTTCATTTTTTAATTCCTCAGAAGTTGGAAATTTTAATTGTATCTATACAATTTTGAACTTTCAATACCAGTTGTGGATTCTGTACAAGACTACAACTTTTTGGTCAGATAATAGTTATTAGGAAAGAACCAAAAAGAACAGATGGGTGGATGTAAACCTCTGCTTCTACTGCTGATATAAGGGTCACCTCTCAGTGTCGCTCCTGCCCCTGCAGCCCTTCAGTGCTATGCCTCTCAGGCTCTCCTAGGATGCCCTCCAGCACACATTGGGGAAAAACCAGCCCCAAAACCAGCACCAGGGAGCTCTGTGGCCTTAGTTTGCTGTCCTGCCCTGGCATCGAGGAATTCACTGTCGAGGCACAAATTACAACCAAAAGAGAACTACTGTATGCAGTCAACTGTGGGGTGAACCACAAAAGGGTCTCCAAATCCAGGTTCGAAAACCATACATTCAGCCCCTCAAGCCACAGAAAGTTAAGGCTTTCGATTAAAGTGGGGCCTTATAAATCAACGCTACAACTGAACCCTGAAACGGTTTGACTCTTCAGGACAAGGGTAGGACAGTGCTGTTCCCGCAGCACTTCCTGCTTGCTCGGGACGCTGACACTGGGTATGGACCATTCACTGTTTTTCCAAAGTGCTCTTCAGGCTAAAGTTGTCCATCAGACTGAAACAAACCTAGCCCAAATACTCATCAGATCACATCATAATGTGAACAGAAGAGGAAAACTTTTTAAACCATCCAAAAGCCCTGGCTGCATAAAACTACCTTGGCACTTCTTACTTAAACATTAAAGAAAATGAAAGTACAGCCGGGCAAAGTGGCTCACGCCTGTAATCCCAGCACTTTGGGAGGCCAAGGAAGGCAGATCACCTGAGGTCAGGAGTTCAAGACCAGCCTGGTCAATATGGTGAAATCCCGTCTCTACTAAAAATATAAAATTAGCGGGTGTGGTGGCACACGCCTGTAGTCCCAGGTACTAGGAAAGCCAAGGCAGGAGAATCGCTTGAACCTGGCAGACGGGGGTTGCAGTGAGCCAAGATCAGGCCACTGCACTCCAGCCTGGCGACAGAGTGAGACTCCATAAATTTTATTCCCTGGGGGAACTGACAGAACAGCTAGAGCCAGTTCACTCCGGGGAACACGTTACTGAGGGTTCCAAAGGGTCACAGGGAGACTAGGATAGGTGCAGTCCAAGTCAGCAGCCTCCCCTGGCTCTGATGCAGACAGTGGTCCGCACTCCCAGAATCAACTGGGTTTTTGATAAAAGGTGAATTAATTTTCTAATTCATATAAATAGAAGGACCATCAAGATTTCTCAGTGTTTGGACATTTCATAATATACATGAATGTTTAAATGTTCCTCAAGTCAGAGGGCCATGTTGCATAAATCCTTCACAAAGTATGTTTTACTTGTACTTTCTGAACAACCCGTACAAATTAGTTATCACACAATGGAAGGGATGTCTGGCTCTGACAGCTGCCATTTTCTGCTCAGGCAGAGTAAGAATTAAGCCTGGTGGCTCTATGGTCAGCTAATCCTGGTAGGCCCTGATTCCATGGGCTGGCAGATTCCAACAAACTATTTTTAGTTTTTTTACTTACAAGACAAAAATACACTTTTCTAGCTTGGGTATTATACATACACCAGTGGGTTTTAAAGAGAAAGACGTATTTAATCTAATTTAAAATCAAAAGACTATGTAGAGGCAGCAAATAAGAGAATTGCACTAGGTTGATCGAATTTGGCTTCCAGTAATGTAATACAACTATGTGGGGGTTTGTAGTTGCATCATTTAAACTGTCTTACGTTGAATCAGATTCAGCATTGCACTGGAGAAAGAATCCTACGCTTTTTTGGTGTGGTCTGTCTGGATAAAAGCGTGGCATCACCATAATCTTCCATGGCAGATTTCGCACAAAACACGGAGGGCTAAGGACCGACTCACTCAGTCTGCTGAAGCGCTCCACAGTGAACTGAAAGGTTGCCTCAGAGCGCCAACTGGTGTCTGCAAAAAAAACACATCATCAGCCACAGAGCCTGTGCACTGACCAAAACCACTAGCATTAATCAACATGGAGTAAACTGTTCTATACATCTTGATTTAACTGCTAAAATCTAACGGTTCGAAAAAATTGCTTCAGATTTGTTAAAAGCCTAAGACTGAGATGACATACAGTTTCTGAATGGATTAATTCTTCCTTATGAAGTCCAAAACTCACAGAGTGCTAACCATACACTTGCCATCCCTGTCAGACTGAGTTCCACATGAGAACAATGTCTACTTTACTAAAGCTGAATTCCCAAGGACCCCGGGCACCCCGTGAGTGGAGAGACTTTGGAGAGAAGGAACAACATGGCTCACATCTGTTCAAGGACAGGACTTCTGGGGGAAAAGACCACAACATGGGACTTGGGCTGACTTTAGGGAGCACAGAACACACAGGCAGGACTTGAGAGCCAGGAAAACAGCCATCCCCCTGGAAGCTCAGCACTGCTCAGAGGCAAGACAATGGCTACAACAGTAGCCTAATAATAAAGTTAACTTCATTAGTTCACAATTTTTGTAAAACTACTAGCCTGGACACCCTAGGGGGAGTTTTTTTTTTGTTTTTGTTTTTTGTTTTAAGAAACTGGTATCTTTTCCCACATAAGCAGTATAAATCGTTCAATGATAATAAGACCAAAGGCTGATTTAAGAAATTTAAGTTTCTGCCAACACAGCGCCTCTTAGCAGAGGTCCAACTGAAGGTCTCCATTTAAAATTCAATCTTTCACTGATGACAGTGACTATTCATTTGCATGTGGCCATCGGTCAAACACCTTTGACAAACCCTGCAGCATCTCACTGCTTCTCAAACGACGCCTGTGAAGGCACGGTCCTCCTGCACCCACACCAATGTGTTATTGACCAATACTTTTTTTTTTTTTTTTTTTTTTTTTTTTTGAGACGGAGTCTCGCTCTGTCACCCAGGCTGGAGTGCAGTGGCCTGATCTCCGCTCACTGCAAGCTCCGCCTCCCGGGTTCACGCCATTCTCCTGCCTCAGCCTCCCGAGTAGCTGGGACTACAGGCGCCCGCCACCTCGCCCGGCTAGTTTTTTGTAGTTTTAGTAGAGACGGGGTTTCACTGTGTTCCACCAGGATGGTCTCGATCTCCTGACCTCGTGATCCACCCGTCTCGGCCTCCCAAAGTGCTGGGATTACAGGCTTGAGCCACCGCGCCCGGCCGACCAATACTTTTATAAAGCATAATGAAATTGCCACAGCAAGGTCAACATGCTACACAAGCTTCTAAACGCTTCCTTTCAGTTTCTGTACCTATCTCATTATAGCCTGCACACAGCTCATGGACTGGCAGGAGATCCAGGGCCACACTGAGGGCCACGCTCTATATGCAGTGCCTGGAAGGCTGTTCCCGGCTTAGAATCAGGTGCTATTTTGACATCCCTGACCACCAGGCTCCTAAGGCACAAAACGAGACTTGTAGGCTTGAGTAAAGAGCGCGTAAAAACATCCTCCCATCCTTCATCTTCAGGCCCCTGAAGGCAGTCACCACGGCATCCAACAACCCTTCAGATTCCAAAGTTCACTAACAACTGAGTTCTCAGCATCAGCCACTTCTCGGGGAACAGAATTTGCTTGAAGTTTATGACTGAGTTTGGTCTTAAGAAAACATGTCCATCAGTCCTCCTGGGAGGGTAGAATTGAAATATAAAAAGCATGTGTGATGGTAAGCACTTCTACCTTCTTTGAGACACTCTTCATGCCAAACTTTTTTATTCCACATAACCCTGCTGAGTTGTTTACAGCACAGGCACTGTGGAAGGAAGAGCAGCTGAAAGAGGTGCATCTTGTCCAAGAGAATTATTTATATAAGCCTCTTTAAGGGGTATTACCCTAATCCCTTTGAGGGACAGAAGTCTACTAAAAGGCAAGAAACTTAAGTTTAAAATAATAATGTCTAGAATGGCATGGTGGAACAAGTTTTGCCATGTGTTTTTAGGATCATGCAATTCACAGTTGATTAGGAGTTAAGTTCTGCAAGGTAGACAAGAGACAAATGTCAATTCCTACATTTTAAGTGAGGAAATGGAAGTCTGCCAAGGCTGTTTTACAAGTGACAATAGAGGATTTTAATATCCAAGATTTGTCAAGACACTACGCACAGTGACCCTGACTCTGGTTTTTAAAATACCACTCCTGGAAGTTACCATAACACTCACAAAACGCAGGTCTCAACAAAATGAGACTACGAGCTTGCCCGCTTTACGAAGCCCATGTATACAGAACTGCACAGAAGCAACCAAATGGAAAATCACTGCAGGACCTAAAAAGCTGAAAGAAACAAGGTTATGCCTCTCTTCTAACTCATCTATTTTATATAATTCAGCTGTTTATAGGGTTTGATTTTATGTATCCCAAATCAATACATATTATAAATGCTTTTTGAACTTTTGCCCTATACATTAAATTTCCCGAGATATTCCTTAAATATTAAAAAGCCCCAAACAATGGTGAGACTCAGAATTAAAGTTTGCACTTGGTCCACCTGCTGCCCAGCCCCACATAGGCCACCATGTATCCGTCTCTGTGCCCCTGAGTGTAGCACTGTCCTGACACACAGTGGATAGTTCACAGTGCACTGTACACTCTATTTCAGCCTCACACTCAAGGCACATTTCTTAAAACAGACTTATCAAATCTGCTAAGCACGAAGTTTAGATGACACTTCAGGTGTATTAAAATTTCACCTCACTTCCTGAAAACTCTTCATACTAATAGAATAATGTAAAACTTTTACTAAAAAACAAAAGGTCTGGCTGGGCACGGTGGCTCATGCCTGTAATCCCAGCACTTTGGGAGGCCAAGGCGGGCAGATCACGAAGTCAGGAGATCAAGACCATCCTGGTTAACACGCTCTTGTTAACTGTCTCTACTAAAAATACAAAAAAGAAAAAAAATTAGCCGGGCTTGGCGGAGGGCGCCCCAGCTGCTCGGGTGGCTGTGGCAGGAGAATGGCGTGAACCTGGGAGGTGGAGCTTGCACTGAGTCGAGATTGCACCACTGCACTCCAGCCTGGGCAACAGAGCGAGACTCCGTTTCAAAAAAAAAAAAAAAAGGTCAGCAGGGCGCAGTGGCTCACGCCTGTAATCCCAGCACTTTGGGAGGCCGAGGCAGGAGGATCACCTGAGGTCAGGAGTTTGAGACCAGCCTGCCCCAACATGGCAAAACCCCATCTCTACTAAAAACACAAAAATAAGCCAAGTGTGGTGTTGTGTGCCTGTAATCCCAGGTACTTGGGAGGCTGAGGCAGGAGAATCGCTTGAACCTGGGAGGTGGAGGCTGCAGTGAGCTGAGATCATGCCATTGCACTCCAGCCTGGGCAACAAGAGCAAAAAACTCTGTCTCCAAAAAAAGTCCAATAAAAAGGAGAAGTGGACTTGGAAACCAGCTTTCACAGATATGGCCAGCCAGATTGTCCTCCTACGAGGAATTACATGAGACTGAGTGATGGAGATCTTTGCCCAAGAAAACACTTAACAGTATACAGGATCTTATGTACTATTTTTTGCAACTTCCAAGTATACTAGGGATTAGGAAGGACACCCACATTCCCTGCAAAATTAGCGCTTCATGCACAAAGACTCCAATCTGCCTGGATGCCACTAACATTAGCAGAGTACCATTTCATTACTGCTTATTTTTATTGTAAATGACAGCGCAACAAGCTTCTGCAAACTGCTGTCACCACAAATCCTCAACCAGACTCCTTGATAACTCACTACCTTCCAATCTGGTCCCTGGAGACTCTTATAGCAGCGGCAGCGGCAATTACCTACAGCACAAAGTTCCAACTGTGCACTTTGTTATATCAATTTTATCCTCCCAGGGCAAAGGCCAATGGACCAGTCTAGGCTTCAGTTGCAAAAAGAAAGGTAGGCCGGGCGCGGTGGCTCACGTCTGCAATCCCAACACTTTGGGAGGTCGAGGTGGGTGGATCACGAGGTCAGGAGTTCGGGACTAGCTGCCTGGCCAACACAGTAAAACCTCATCTCTACTAAAAATACAAAAAATTAGCCAGGCGTGGTGGCAGGCGCCTGTAGCCCCAGCTGCCTGGGAGGTTGAGGCAGGAGAATTGCTTAAACCCAGGAGGCAGAGGATACGGTGAGCCGAGATCGTGCCACTGCACTCCAGCCTGGGCAACAAGTGCAACTCCGTCAAAAAGAAAAGAAAAGAAAGGAAAGGAAGGAAAGGAAGGGAAGGAAGGGAAGGAAGGGAAGGAAGGGAAGGAAGGGAGGAAGGGAGGAAGGGAGGAAGGGAGGAAGGGAGGAAGGGAGGAAGGAAGGAAGGAAGGAAGGAAGGAGAAAAGAAAGAAAAGAGGAAAAAAAGTTAAAGAAAAACACAACACTTCAGATTTTTGAATCAGAAAGGTTGGTAAAAAATTTCCCAAAATGTGCTGTTGCAGTGATTTTAGCTACCTTCTTCATTCTAATACAAGTTCTTGCAAGTCCTCGTCAATCCCCACAAATTAGTCTCATGGAGAACAACATTCTAAATCTAGATCCATCTAGATCTTCAGAGGCCATATTTGCTCTAAAACTTCCTTGGTGGCTCACACTTGTAGTCCCAGTACTTTGGGAGGCCAAGGCAGGTGGATCACCCGAGGTCAGGAGTTCAAGAACAGCTGGCCAACATGGTGAAACTCCGTCTCTACTAAAAATACAAAAAGTAGCCAGGCGTGGTGGCATGTGCCTGTAATCCCAGCTACTCAGGAGGCTGAGGCAGGAGAATCGCAAAAACCCAGGAGGTAGAGGTCACAGTGAGCTGAGATCTCACCTCTCACCACTGCACTCTAGCCTGGGCGACACAGCAAGAACCTATCTCAAAATAAAATAAAATAAAACTTCCTTGGGCCAAGTGCAATGGGTCATGCCCATAATCCCAACACACTGGGAGGCCAAGAAAGGAGAACTGCTTGAGCCCAGAAGTGCTAGACCAGCCTGGGCAACATAGAGATCCAGTCACTACAAACAATTAGTCACACATGGCGGTATACACTTGTAGTCCCAGCTACTCAGGAGACTGCGGAAGCAGTAAGCAGTCATCATACCACTGCACTCCAGCCTGGGTGACAGAGCAAGACTGTAACTCAAAATAAATAAAATAAAATAAAATAACTTCCTTGGACATCTCACAAAAAACAGTGAATGAGGAACTAAAAGTATAGAATGAGTAGATATAGTAAAAAATAATTCTGATACTTGCCCATAATTCTATGTTAACAGGATTTTTAAGTAAGTTCTCTTCCTCAACTATACAGGTCTCCCATCGCTATGTCATTAGCTACTTAGCTTCTTACACAAGAAATGTCCCTTACTAAGAAGTCTTCTGTGCAAATCAATCAAGTCTCTGATAGTTTGGCTACAGACAAAACTTCGAAAGAGATGCTTCCCAGATTGTGTGTCCTAGTCTGAAATGGACACTCAACACTCAAGTAAACAGGACACTCAAAAAAAAGGGGAGCTCTGAAGTCCACAGTCTTGGGGCATCATTAACAAAAACTTTTGGAGAAGCAATTTATGTTGCTTCTGATACGACAACCCTGAGACATACGATAGTAAATAAAGCTTGTTTAGCCAAGCACATCTATAACTTCCTAGAATCCTGTGCATTTTTCACAACACACTTATCCCCTGAAGAAGAGGGTTGCACAATTCATACTGCAGCTGGAAAATGCTGCCCTCAGCTACAAGTTCTTCTCCTACAGTCAGGACCACCTCCCTCCCGTGCACTTTGCCATCAGAAAGATATTACATGCTGGGTCTTTCAACGGCAACCATAGTTCCAAACCAAGGAAAGATGCTACTGAAGATTACTCAACCTTCTTGGATTATACGCTTTTTCCATCAAGGAGGTCACAAGAAGGGCATTTCCACTTTTAGGTCCTACGGTGTGGCACCACTGTCTACTAATTTAGTGAAATGTACCTCAAAAGGAAGGGGATTTTTACCCATACTTATGTTCTCATAAGTCATTCTCCCCAGGAGACACTTGTCAATGTCTAGAGACATGTCATGACTGCAAGTGGGGGGCAGCGGCCATGGGCATCCTGGAATGTACAAGACAGCCTCCCACAACCAGGAATTATCCAAGATGCCATGAGAAGCTGAGAAGCTCCACCCTATATCTATGTCTCCTCCCAAGACCTCCCCCCTAAAAAAAACAAAACACAGTAGGGAAATGTTGGCACAGATTGCTCTGTGGGAACTAGACTGGGAATGCTCCAATAGGGCGGGGCCTGTCACTGCTCCACAAGTGGCTAGAATGGATCCCAAAAGCACACCTGGCGCCTTAGACCTGGCCACACCTTCCCAAATGCACTCACTAAACCACTTTCGGCATCTCTAATGTCTGAAGTAAAACCTCCAAAGCCCAACAACCAGCGAGACCACACCCACACCATTGCCCTTGTCTACGGTGGAAAGCGCACTCCACAGGTAACAAAGCAGCGGGTTTAGACCACGCCTCTTTACCTTCCTCAGATATTGCCTCAGCCAGCTGCCAGGGGTAAACCGCACTGTGAGAGAACTCTCAACTACGGCTGCAGTTTCTCATGGAGGCTGAACTTTTGGCAGGAGGTCTGAACAGCAGTCCTTCTGGTGGTGCAGCCCGTGACTGATGGTTTCTTTCAACTGCCCCGTTACTCCCCTGGGAAGGACACAACCCTCATGAGGATTGATGGACATGCTTTTTGACAGAACATGGTTTCATATTACACTCAAGACTCCAGGGGCTGCATACTGCAATTATGGCTGCTCCCTACTCACAAGTGTGACCTTGCAAATGTTGAGGTCACTAATCTGATAAATTTAAAGAAGGAATGGTCTTGGAAGAAAAAAACTGATCTCCTACACAAAAAAAAGTCCATGCACATACATGAGTGTGCTTTCTCACAGAGAAGCTATAGACCAAAACTCAGGGAGAATGAAGGCCAAAGCTTGAATCCGATTTCATCCCTAACAGGAGTGGGGAGGGATTCTCAGCTATCATCAACTGATATACACCCTGCAATGAGAATGCAATGGAAAGCCAAGTTCCAATGTCTGCACGTATCTTGCTGCAAACAAACAGGAAGGAGAGTAAGACATGCTTGTTGTTCCCAATACTAGCAGTGGCTGGAGACCTGCAGGCGTGAGTAAATACCCACCTATTATATTTAAACCTAAATTACACCTCCTCACCTAGGCTAGGGAGACTCTACTTACCTGGAAATGGTGTAGGCCATCTTGAAACTCAAAACCCAAACAGGATTTTCCTCAGTTACAGCCTCCTGAAAACTAGCTATGCTCAAGCTCACAAGTACCCAAGGAAAAAACATGGATCTGAATCTGTTTTCTGACAGGTTTCCGCCCGCTGCGAGGAGGCGAACGATAGGCACTTACCATCCTCCATGTCCTCCTCCGTGTTGTTGTGTCCATCACTCAGGGCCACATTCCCGTTGATCACAGGGTTCTGAGTAATTCTTGGTGGGTCATCTGTATCTCCAGCTTTAAAGAAGAAAAACAAATTCCATGGGTTTCACATTCATGGCTTTAATGGAATAAGCAAAATATAAACTTATACTTTTGATATTGCCTAATCATTAATAAATTCCAATTGTGGCTGGGCACGGTGGCTCACGCCTGTAATCCCAGCACTTTGGGAAGCCGAGGCAGGCGGATCACGATGTCAGGAGATCGAGACCATCCTGGCTAACACGGTGAAACTCCGTCTCTACTAAAAATACAAAAAAAAATTATCCGGGCATGGTGGCGAGCTCATGTAGTTCCAGCTACTCAGGAGGCTGAGGCAGGAGAATGGCATGAACCCGGGAAGTGGAGCTTGCAGTGAGCCGAGATCGCGCCACTACACTCCAGCCTGGGTAACAGAACGAGACTCCGTCTCAAAAAAAAAAAAAAAAATTCAATTGTAGCACAGTAAAGGTTCATTCTAATCCAAAAAATATTTATACTAATGTTTACTAAATACAAACTTCTGTTATTTCAAAACACTAAAAGGAATTTGAAAACATGCTATACCACACTATAATTTGCTTTCTTTGCAATGATATTCTGCACAAAACTTTTTATGTAAAATCTCTTACGTAGGCCAGGCATGGTGGCTCATGCCTGTAATCCTAGCATTTTGGGAGGCCAAGGCGGATCGATCATCTGAAGCCATGAGTTCGAGACCAGGCTGGCCAACATGGTGAAACCCCATCTCTACTAGAAATGCAAAAATTAGCTGGGTGTGGTGGTGCATACCTGTAATCCCAGCTACTCAGCAGGCTGAGGAATGAAAATCACTTGAACCCAGGAGGCAGAGGCTGCGATGAACCAAGATCGTGCCATTGCACTCCAGCCTGGCCGACAGAGTGAGACTCAGTCTCAAAAAAAAAAAAAAAAAAAAAAAAAATTCCTTAGGTAGTTCTTACTTTACAATAGCTAATCAGCATAAAGAACCTTTATCTAATTGTTGTGGAAAGTCATTATTTTACTACAGGTCTCCTAGTAATTACAAACAATTCTACAGGCAATTTTGTTGTGAAGATTACTGAACATATGCAAATGGTATATATTAAAACAAATTATTTTAAAGTTTTTCATCATGAACACATGCCAGTATCTTTTTTTTTTTTTTTTTTGAGACAGTCTCACTCTGTTCCCCAGGCTGGAGTGCAGTGGCACAATCTCAGCTCACTGCTACCTCTGCCTTTCGGGTTCAAACTATTCTCCTGTCTCAACCTTCTGAGTAGCTGGGATTACAAGCACGTGCCACCACGCCCAGATAATTTTGTATTTTTAGTAGTGATGTGGTTTCACCATGTTGGTCAACTGGTCTCGAACTCCTGGCCTCAAGTGATCCACCCGCCTTGGCCTCCCAAAGTGCTGGGATCACCCACCCATGCCACTGTCTTAAAACATCAAATCATCATCCTCAAGGTGTCAGTGGACGATTACTGTATAATTATGTAAAGAGCCTGGATTATGTAAAGTACTTAGGAAAGCATAAAACTGATCACTCTAAATGTGTGCTAAATGCTTGGGCTGAAAAACACATATAACTCAAGTTCGGATTCAAAACATTTTAAGTTACAACTGGCAAATAAGGTGTAAATTACAACAACATTCCAATCACTTTTCATTAATTTTAAAGCATAGATTTCTCACACTGACACAGATGGTTATTCTACAAGCAGAATAATCACAGCAGGACTTTTAGGTTTTACCTAGCTTCACACGTCCCATTTAAATCAATTTGTTCTTCCACATATTAGAACAGCTCACTGCAACTAATGCTGGCCCCACGGTTGCCTACACAGTCGGCTTTCCCTGGTGCATCAGACACCAACAGAAATTAGGAATCTCAACTGCAGACAGGAGATGAGCTTTTTAACAGTCAGGTAGTTGTGTGTGTGGGTGGCCTTCACAATTTCAGAGCTTTTCTGCCATTCGAACCAGCATGCAATCTGATTCAGCACCATGGACAGCGTCACACTCACTTCCCCCTTTAGGAACTCTCCAAAACCCTAATGCTTAAGATTACATCATAAGCCTCTCCAATCATTCCTGAATAAAATGGTACTCCCCACCACTCAAGCATCTCAAAACATTCAAAATACCAAGAAACAGGTATTAGCACCCAGACATTTAAGATTAAGACATTAAAGATCAATTTCAATCTTGACAGTCTTTTAATAGACACACTTAATTAATGATGGCTTAAAAGTTATTTCGGGTCCAACCAGTGGCTCATTGCCTATAATCCTAGCACTTTGGGAGGCCAAAGTGAGAGAACTGCTTGAGTTCAGGAGTTTGAGAGCAACCAGGGAAACACAGTGAGACCTCATCTCAATTTATTATTTTTTTAAAGCTTATTTCTGAAAACATATACACATATTTCTAAACTAGTCCCTAGACCATCATGCCTTGACAGAAATACTGTGGAAGAGGGTTAAGGAAAGGAACTCAGATGTACACTCAAGAGAAAGGATGAAGAGAAGGAAAAATGTCTTTTTGCTGATTCTTAACTAGCTCAAATGCTCTAAATCAAACATACATGCTCAATTTAAAAAAAGAAAAATCAGGTACTCTGAAATGTCTTTCACCCACATTCATTTTCCTAGAACTATATCAAATCTTTAAAAAGTTTTATAAGATGTATAAATTGTAAACCAAGGACAGTGACTGGCCCTATAAAGTGGAGGGGGCAAGAAGGGAACGGGGCTGGGGATGGACAAAGCAGGCTAGTGCCTTATCTGTGATATTTAAAGTTGGAAATTTTTAAAGAGGTAACATGTATATTTAAACTTAAAAATATATTTATATATTAATTGAATAGGGAAAAAAACTTATGAAGGCCTATTAAATAAATTATGGCAAATTCCAATGGAATTTTTTTTTTTTTTTTAAGATGCAGTTTCGCCCTTGTTGCCCAGGCTGGAGTGCAGTGGCACGATCTCGGCTCACTGCAAACTTGGCCTCAGGGGTTCCAGCAGTTCTCCTGCTTCAGTCTCCCAAGTGGTTGGGATTACAGGTGTGCACCACCACGCTTGGCTAATTTTGTATTTTTAGTAGAGACAGGGTTTCATTGTTGGTCAGGCTGGTCTCGAACTCCTGACCTCAAGTGATCCACCCGCCATGGCCTCTCAAAGTGCTGGGATTACACTCAAGAGCCACTGCGCCAACCTCCCAATGGAATGTTAAAAAAAAAATGTAGCCAAGCATGGTGGCTCCCAGCACTTGTGGGAGGCCAGAATGGGACGATCGCAGGAGTCAGGGAGTCCAAGACCATCGTGGGCAATATAGTGAGATTCCCATGTCTATTAAAAACAAAAAAATTAGGCCGGGCGCGGTGGCTCAAGCCTGTAATCCCAGCACTTTGGGAGGCCGAGACGGGCGGATCACGAGGTCAGGAGATCGAGACCATCCTGGCTAACACAGTGAAACCCCGTCTCTACTAAAAATACAAAAACTTAGCCGGGCGAGGTGGCAGGCACCTGTAGTCCCAGCTACTAGGGAGGCTGAGGCAGGAGAATGGCGTGAACCCGGGAGGCGGAGCTTGCAGTGAGCTGAGATCCGGCCACTGCACTCCAGCCTGGGTGACAGAGCGAGACTCCGTCTCAAAAAAAAAAAAAAAAAAAAAAAATTCAGGTACCAAGCGATACGTATCACACACAACCTCTGTTATAAAAGGAGAGAGCTGTGTTGAAATAGAAACATGTAATTTCATATTTCCCTTTACAAAATTCAAAAGATGTATACAGAAACAGCAGGAGGATACATAAGAACCTACTAGAGATTAGGGTTACACAGAAGCAACCTAGAGCTTCTTCACTGTATATGCACACACTCACACTATGTGTAAGTGCTACAATTTTCCCCCCTTAAAGAGACAAGATTTCACAGTGTTGCCCAGGCTGGTCTTCAACTGGACTCAAGCAATCCACCCCTCTCACCCTTCTCAGCCTCCCAAAATGCTGGGATTACAGGCATGTACCACCCTGCCTGGACTATTTTTTTTTTTTTTTTTTTTGAGATGGAGTCTTCCTCTGTCTCCCACGCTGGAATGCAGTGGGGTGATCTCAGTTCACTGCAGCCTCCACCTCCTGGGTTCAAGTGATCCTCCTGCCTCAGCCTCCCAAGTAGCTAGGATTACAGCTGTGTGCCACCACACCCAGCTACTTTTTGTATTTTTAGTAGAGACAGGGTTTCACCATGTTGGCCAGGCTGGTCCCAAACTCATGACCTCAAGTGATTCGCCAGCCGTGGCCTCCCAAAGTACCGAGATTACAGGGATGAGACACCACACCTGGTCTATAAATCTTAAAAGTAATTTGCTAGAGGTACACCTAGTACTTTTAACTTCCTTGGTTCAAACTTATCATGGTTTTAATGCATGGATGCAAAAATGAGGGCTCATTTTCTGTACATAAAACTTCATGTCTAAAATCAGGATCATATGTAAGTGTAAGCAGTCTAAAGGATGGAAAATAAGTGAACTCTACAACTGCTCTGTAATTCTGAGGTACAGGTTATGGTTTCATGAGGTCTAGTGAAATCAGACTGAGACACAAGTGAATTCAGATTAGAGCTCAAAGAAGGGCTTGTCTGGGTGACTTCAGAGAGACTGCATTGTCTCTAAAAGTTACAGCAATAGTAAAAACCAAGATCAATTCAAGAGCGCATAATATCTTACAGGTTGGGGTGGGGGAAATGTGTAAGCTCTACCCCCCATTTTTCAGCAGTAGGATTAACTGCAGTGTGATGTCTAAAGAAAGCCTATTATTTTCTGACATTGTTCTAGTGTGAAGTAAGGGCTACTCTGCAGTTGGCCTTGAAAAAGCAAAGTAGAGCTCTGCGGTTGCAACAGACTCTGAGCAAGACCCCATCTTTTACATCCAAATTAACACATCTGAGTTGGTTTGCCCAGTCTGCCCTTTTCCACCTGACAGGTGCAGAGAAAGCGGTCAAGGCCAGTGGCTGTGAAATGGCAAAGGGCCACTGGT